TGGCTCAGTGGTTAAGAGCACTTGTTGTTCTTGCAGAGGATCTGCGTTTGGTTCCCAGCACCTACATAGCAGCTAAAATCCACATGTAACAACAGCTCTAGAGGAGCCAACACCCCCTGTTGGTCTCCAAAGGCACTGCACTCATGTGTTCATCAGCCACATACATGTAAATAGAACACATGTAAATAAAAATTGTAAATGAAATAAGAATGTAAAGGCCAATGTTATTTTACCTACTCTACCTTTAAATATTTTTTCTGAAGTTTCTTTTAATGTATAATTGTGTGAATGTATATGTACCACACATATGCAGGTGCCAGAAGAGGGCATTGGAACCCCTGGAGCTAGAGTTACAGGTTGTTGTGAGCCGTCCTGTGAGTTCTGGGAACTGAACTTGGGTCCTTTGCAAGAGCAGCAAGCATTCTTAACTACTGAGCCATCTCTCCAGCCCCCTACTGTTAGCTCTTTAAAATAAATTACTGAGTCAACGTTATTGATTTATATTTTATATGCCACAAATGCACCCATTTTTCTGTACAGTGTGCCATGACATTTTAATTTGCATTTGTTTATTTGGAACATGATATGTTACGATCACAAGAAGAGAGATTTAATAGAACCCAAAATGCAATGAATACGGCATTTCAACATCACTACCTTGTTGGCACTTTCTGTATTTCTTTCAACTTTAGCACATTTCATCCTTTTGACAGATTCGGAGCACACAGCACAATAGGAAATGATTTCTATGCAATGTGTTCCTGCCAGGTTTGGAGAGCCCCAATAAGACAGATTTGTGAAGATGGAAAAGTTTAACCGGGAAGATGTATTCAGTGAATAACTGAAAGGAAGAGGAGACGCATTACCAGTGAGCCACAGAAGTGCATGTGGCCTCGTATATACCTTCAGGAGACTTATGCAAATGGAGGCAGATAAAACCAATTCAGATCCCAGGATTCTCACAGCCCCCTAGACCTGTAGAAAAGTCTGGTGGGTGCCAGCATGTTCACGGATTGTTGCAAGCTCCAAGGATTAGCTCACGTTTTGAATTCAAGCAGTGGGTGGTAACTCTTCTGACCTTGGCGTTCTTAGCTATTTAGACTGGATTTTGGCTTTCCCCGCCCTATCGTGTTTTCAGTTTTGTCCTATCTTGTTTAAAAATTTGACACAGTAGTGTAGATAAATTATAGAACAGCCACTGATGTGGTAGCAGAGCTAAAACCCAGACGGCAAGACTTAAAGATTATCAGTCAAATAGCCTGATGACCATAGCAGGCAGGTTCTTTTCCCTCTTGGGCTTATTCCTTGTCTTTTGTTGTTATTTGTTTTATTTATTTGGTTTTGGTGGTACTGGGGATTCATGCTAGGTAAGCACCCCCAGTCTCTTGAGTCAAACCCTTGACCCCTCCCTGGGGGGTTCTAGGCAGGTCCTCTACTTCTAAACCATGTTCCTAGGCTGGTTGGTTGATTGGTTGGTTGGTTGGTTGGTTGGTTGGTTGGTTGGTTAGTTGGTTGGTTAGTTTGTTATAAGATCTTACTCTGCAGTGTGGGCTGGTCTCAAACTCATAGGGATCTTCCTGCCTTAGTCTCCCCAGTCCTGGGATTACAGGTATGTAATGCCATGTCTGGCTTATTTCTCACCTAGTAATTGAATTGGATTGAATAAAATCCCTACTGATCAAAGTGTGGTCCAAGATCCACAGCATCTGGCCAGGGAGCCTCAGAGAGGCAGAGCCTGTAGCCAAAGGGCAAAACTATTGAAGTGGGCTCTACAGTTTCCTAAGGTCCTGAGGTGATTTACACACCAGTCAGTTTTGAGATATACCAGGTCCTTAGTCATTAATGGTTCATTCTAGATGTGCAGGGCTCACTTGAGAGATAGTAGACTTCCCCTAGTCCACTATTTCATGTTGGAGATGTCAGTGGCTGCAGCATGCTCTACATCTGGTGAATTTCCTAAGAACTGAGACAGTGGGGCAGCAGGGGAAGGAAGCCAACTCCCCTAGACTCTACAGAGCGTGAGGAGTGAGGCAAAGCCTGCAGGTAGCAGCCTCTCAGCCTTCCTCCCAGAAGCTGCCTGTGTTCTCCACAGCAGATCTAGAAGCCCTGGTGTGCTTCCTCACCAGCAGAAATACATTTGAGCTGGGGCTGTGGATGTGGCTCAGTTGATAGGCAGTTTGCCTAGCATGTGTGAAGCCCTGGATTCCATCCCCGGCACTACAAAACCAGTTATGGATGTGTTTATCATCTTAGCACTTGGGAGGTAGAGGTAGGAGAAGTCAGGAGTTCAAGGTCATCCTTGATACGTAGTGAGTTCTAAGTCAGCCTGGCATACATGAAACTCCATCTCAAAAAGAAGATATGCACATATGTGAGGGAGATATTTGTTTGGAAACAAGTTTTGGAAGGAATTTGAATATTAAATATCAAGATGGAAAATATTGATTGATTGACTGATTGATTGATTCTGAACCAAAGTAGTCTAGAGAAACTAAAGCCATGTGAAAAGACTAAAGAGTGTTGTTATACGATACGTTATAACCCGAAATTACCTGTTAAAGTAGCTATTCATGTGGGAAGACTCTTGCCTCAGCACAGACACTGTTTTCTTTGAGTGAAACTCTGTGTTCTGTTCTGTTGGATTTCTGCCATTTTAGTACTTTCTGCCCCAGACCACACTAACAAGCCTGAATTCTATGGCATAATCTGAATTTTAAATTTTTTATTATCAGTATGTGCATGAATGTGTGTGTTATGTGCATGTGAGCATGGTGCCCACAAAGGCATTGGATCCCCTGGAGCTGAAATTACAGCTACCTGACATGGATGCTGGGAACCAAACCTGGGACCTCTACAAGAGCAGCAAGTTTTCTTAACTACTTCAGAGCTAGTTCTTTTATGTGTGATGTCATGTTGGAGTTTTGTTATTCTGACAGTTTTATGTAATTTACTTTGTGGGGTCATAGAGTTTGCCATTATACTTGATGTGACACTTGGATGTCTCGACCTTTGGGCAGTAACATACCTTTTAAAATCATATATAAGCTTTCATTTTCTACATTGGTTTCTTGTGTGGAAAGTGTTATTACTATTATTTCTGTTGCTGTGACAAAAACTCTGACAGAAAGCAACATAAGGAAGGGTTTACTTGCCTTACAAATCCAGTTTACAAAGTCCTTTACTGTGGAGAAGTCAAAGCAGGAGCTTAAAGAATCACACACACAATCAGGAGCAGAGAAAAAGGAATGTGCTGCCTGCTCACTTAGCTTGCTTTCTTCACTCTTACACAGGTAAGACCCAGCATAGGGAATGGTGCCGCCCACAGTGGACTGGATCTCCCCAGATCAATTTACAATCAAGGCAGTCCCCAACAGACATGATCTTAGGCCAGTCTGATCTGGATGATTCCTCAAATGAGGCTCTCTAGGTTGTAGCAAGTTGACATTTAACACTAACCATCACAAAGTTTCACTTAAATTTTACATTCAGTCTCAACCTAAGAGCATCCAGCATCCCTATCACTTGATCCCTGTGGGATGGGAGACCCTGCATGTGCCAAGAGAAACTCCTTCAAGCAAACACATTAATATTAAAGTTGATTTAAATTCATGCCTGCATCTTTGATCTCAGATGTTACTGGGCTGGCCGGTTAGCATTAGTCCTTATTTCCTTCCTTCCCTCCCTCCCTCCCTCCCTCCCTCCCTTCCTTCCTTCCATGTGTACATGGGTTGATGTATGTGTGCAGTTATTCTTGTGCCATGGCCCATGTGTGGAAATCAGAGGAAAACTTTTAGGAGTTATTTCTCTTATTCTACCATGAGAGATCAAACTCAAGTTACCAGTTTCGTAGCAAGTGCCTTTACGTACTGTACCATACCACCAGTCCAGGAGGCCTGACTTTTGCTCAGCTTGTTCCTCTAAATGTCCTGTGTTTCTGCACACAAATGCAAAGAGACTGGGAGGGACAGAGAGAAGGCCAGGAAGAAACTTCTGTGTTGTTAAGTAACATTTGCTCTGTGTGTTAAGGGAAACTGCTCTCTTTTTGTATTCAAGAACTGTATTAGTTTAAATGTGTGTGTGGGACGGGGAAGGATCAACTTGTAGGCTTTGGTAAAGATGGCAGAGAAGCACTGAGGATGCATCTCAGTTGATAAGAGTGCCTGTCTGGCATACTAGAAGCCCTGGGTTCCATCCCCAGCCCAAGTAAACAGGCACAGTGGCACAGGCCTGTAATGCCAACACTCAAGAGGTGGAGGCAGTAGGATAAGGAGTTCAAGGTTGTCCTAAGATACCTAGCAAGTTCAAGGCCAGCGTGGTCTACAAGAGACCCTGTTAGATAGATGATTGATGATAGATAGATAGATAGATAGATAGATAGATAGATAGATAGATAATAGATAGATAGATAGATAGATAGATGATAAGATGATAGATAGATAATGGATGGATAGATGATAGATAGATGATATGATAGATAGATAGACAGACAGACAGACAGATGATGGATGGATAGATGATAGAAGATAGATAGATAGATAGATAGATAATAGATAGATAGATAGATAGATAGATGATAAGATGATAGATAGATAATGGATGGATAGATGATAGATAGATGATATGATAGATAGATAATAGATGATGATAGATAGATAGAGAGATGATTGATAGATAGACAGACAGACAGACAGACAGACAGACAGACAGATAGATAGATAGATAGATAGATAGATAGATAGATAGATAGATAGTTAGAGATAGATAGATGATAGATATTGAGCTACAGGAGACCCAGTCAAATAAATAAATAAAGTAATAAAGTAATTAATTAAGAGAAGAGGAAAGTGTTCATTTTCCCAGACTCCTAGTGGCCTTCTTTGCCCTGGCTTTTCTCTCCCTGTGGGAGATTCAGAGGCCTGTTGTTGGTAGTTTGGTACCATGTAGCATCTGTGTATCTCTCACACTTGCTCATTTGTTTGTGTCTCTCTTTGCCCATACAGATCCAGAGTTAGGCATTGGCACGCTGCCAGAACACGACAACCAACATGCAGGACCCATTGTCCCCAAGATCTCGGGTCTAGAGAGAAGCCAGGAAAAGAGCCAGGACTGTTGCAAAGAACCCATCTTTGAACCTGTGGTGCTCAAAGACTCTCGTCCTCAGCTCCCGCAGCTACCGCCACAGTCCCTGGTGGAACCCCAGCTCCGAGCTCCATCTCCAGACCCAGGCTTGGTCCAACGCACGGAGGCTCTGCCCCAGCCTCCCCCCCCAAGTTCACAGCCAGCCCAGGGCCCCCCAGAGGCTCAGCTGCAGCCTGCCCCACAACCTCAAGTGCAACGGCCACCTAGGCCACAGTCCCCTAGCCACCTGCTCCAGCAGGCCCTTCCATCTGTGCAGCCACACCCGTCTTCTCAGAGCCTCTCTCAGCCACTGTCAGCCTACAACAGCAGTAGCCTGAGCCTCAACAGCTTAAGGTAAGCTGCTGATCTTTTTCTACCTTCTTCCTTGGGGAGGACCGAGACAGGATTTGGAGACACTAGCATGGTTGAATTGGACCCTGGTTTTTATCGGTGGGGCTGAAAGACAGAAAGAAGCTGTTGGAGCAGATGAGGGTCTCTCAGGTTGGGTGTTGAAGACTTTGTGCAGGATAAATTTCCTGCAAGGATTCTAGAAAGCACAGGAAGGAGAAGGTGACCAGAAATAGTTGAGGTCAAGCATGGTGGCACATGCCTTTAATCCCAGCACTCAGGAAGCAGACGTAGGCAGATCTCTGTGAGTTCAAGGCCAGCCTGGTCCACATATCAAGTTCCAGGGCAGTTGGGGCCCCAGGGAGACCGTGTCTCAATAAACCAGGAAAAAAATGTTGAGGTTGGGGCTCAGAGATTAAGAAGGCTTTCTGCCCTAGCAGAGGACCAGAATTTGATTCCAGCACTCACCAGAGACAACTCACAACAACCTGTAACTCCAGTTCCAGGGGACCCAGAGCTCTCTTCCGGTCTCCTAACACACCTGCACTCATGTAGCATGTACACAGAGATGCATTAATAAAAACAGCCTGATGTGGTGGTACAAGCCTTTAATTCCAGCACACAACAGGCAGATCTCTATGAGTTCCAGGCGAGCCAGGGCTACATAGTGAGACCTTGTCTCACAAAACCAAAAATAATATAAAATAAAAATAATAAAGATTACTCTTTTTTATTATTTTATTTATTATTTTTATTTTATGAGTATATTGCCTGCATGTATGTGAGTGCACCTGTGTCGTGCAGTGCTGTGGAGGTCAAAAGGTGGCTTTGGATTCCCCTGGAACTGTAGTTAAGGACAGTTAGTAGCCACCATGTGGGTGCTGGAATTGAACTGGGTTTGATTCCCAGCACCTCTGCAAGAGCAGTCAGTGCTCTTAACCACTGAGGCATCTGTCCAGCCCCCTAAAAATAATAAAGATTATTCTTAAAAAAAAAAAAGAGTGCTCCAGTGGAAGAAAGGCAGGGTGTGTATGCCAAGGGCTTTGAATGGGGGGAGTCTGAGAAGGGAGGCTCAGAAATTGCTCACTTCTTTTTCTTTTCCTTTTTTATCCTAACAGCAGTAGCAGAAGCAATACTCCAGCCAAGACCCAGCCTGCCCCTCCTCACATCTCCCACCATCCCTCTGCCTCCCCTTTCCCCCTCTCCCTGCCCAACCACAGCCCCCTACATAGCTTCACCCCCACCCTCCAGCCTCCAGCACACTCACATCACCCCAATATGTTTGCCCCTCCCACCGCCCTGCCTCCTCCCCCACCACTGACATCCGGAAGTCTGCAGGTGCCAGGACATCCCGCAGGGAGCACTTACTCAGGTAAGATGAAGGCACCCTCAGTCTCCACCTGAGCACCCAGTGCTGCTTGCTCACTGTTGGGCTGCATTTATCTAACAATTTTCACACTTCCTGAGTGTGTTCTGAAGTCTTCAAATCTTTTGTGGGCTGAAGCTCAGCAAAGATGCATCCCGAATGCTCTAACTCGCCCAGCATGGCCTCTGTGGGTTGGATACTGAACAAAGAAGATAGGAGTCTTTCCGTGACTTCACCACCGGCTGGTGAAACCTACATGCAAGTGTCCTGGGCAATGTCCAAGCCATGACAGCAACTGTAGACCTATGTCTGTTTCACTCCAGGATCTTGGGTTATATCATGGTCTAAGTAGTTTGTTTTATCAAATAGGGCCCTCCCTCTGTGTTCTGTTGAGGTGACATTATAGCCCAGAATTTTAAAAACAGACCATGTGACACTGAGGACACAGCCCAGTCAATGTAGCAACTTGCCTTGTAAGCATGAGGTTCTGAATTCAATCCCCAAAACCCGTGTGACAGGCAAGGTATTGGGTTGGAAAGATGCTCAGTGGTTAAGAGCAGGTACTGCTCTTGCAGACGACCCAAGTTCCATTTGCTGAACTCAAAACTACCTGTAACACCAGCTCCAGGGGATCCCATGCCCTCTTCTGGCCTTGTGGCCACTGTACTCACATACACATACATACATACACATAATAAAATATACACAGACACATATAATAAAAAATAAAATAAATCTTTAAAAAGAAAGTGTAGAGAGCTGGAGATGTAGCTCAGCTGCTAGAGAGCTTGCCTAACACACAAGACCTTGCGTTTAATCCCCAACACTACATAAAGCCAGGTGTGATGGCACATGTCTGTAATCCCAGAACTGAGGAGGTTAGAGACAGGAAGCTCAGGAATTCAGGGTTATCCTCGGCTACATAGGGGGAATTTGAGGCCAGCCTAGCATACATGAGACCCTGTCTCAATTTTTAAAAAAAGAGAAGACGCTCATGTTTTAAGTGAATTCATCATTTTGGGCCTGTCTGCATTATTCTTACCATACCGGGCCGCAGGTGTTGTGTGGGATGTGCACTGGACATGCCCACAACTAGGATATCCTGTTCATAAGTATGCTACCAGATAGAAGAGAAAAAGCCCTCACCACCATCACCTCCCTCTCCTTTCTTTCCAGAGCAAGATATCTTGCGGCAGGAGCTGAACACACGTTTCCTGGCCTCTCAGAACGCTGACCGCGGGGCATCCCTGGGCCCCCCGCCTTACCTGCGGACTGAGTTCCATCAGCACCAGCATCAGCATCAGCACACACATCAGCACACGCACCAGCACACCTTCACGCCTTTCCCCCACGCCATCCCACCCACCGCCATCATGCCGACGCCAGCACCTCCCATGGTGCGTACCCCAGGCAGAAATGTGAGGATAAGTAGAACGCGAGTCTTTTCTTCATACAGCTCTGCTGGGAGGGTTGGCTGGGCAGTGGGAGACACCAGAGGGTGATGGGGAGGCATGACTCTACAGGGGGCCCCTTTGTCTGGTCTGTCTTTGATGAGGAACTCTGGCTCAAGGGCCCCAGAGTAGGGACTTTTATCTTCTATGCAGAGATCCCTGGCATTGTGGGTAGATTTACAACAGGTGCCTTCAAAACACTCACACAGGGTTTTAGTAATTTCTTAAAGGGTTGTTCAGTTTGCCTATGCATGCTAGGGGATTGTCAAAACAGCATAGAAATACTCACAAAAGATTGGGAATGAGAAGGGAATAGCCAGGGTCCTGTCAGGAGGCTCAGCCCACTCTGGTAACACTTGTCCTTGGTCAGATGTTTTCCCTTTTCTGGAACTGTCTGAGTTCTTGTTATTTTGTGAGATGGACCCCAACTCTTGTTTTATGTCTGAGAGCAAGCAATGAGCCAGGACAGATGCACCCTGCAGAGACGTAGCTTAGTGGTGACATGTCTGGGGACTGGCACATGCACACGCATAGAGAATTAATTAGGGTTTTTGTTTTGTTTTGTTTTTTGTATAAATCACAAACAACAAATGATGACATGGTAGAATTTTATATATACTCGGAGAGAAAGGTCTAATGGGAACAATGAGTATTAGATATTTTATTACTAGTCTTTAATATTTAAAGAAATACTTGGGAACTGCAGAGATGGCTCAGTGATTAAGAGTACTTGCTGCTTTTACAGAGGATCAGAGTCCAGTTCCCAACACCCACATGTACATCTCAAGACCAACTGTAGCTCCAGCTCCAGGGAATCTGACGCCATCTTCTGGCCTCTGCAGACACTGCACTCACACATGTACATACTCACATGCAGACACACAAACATGATTTTTAAAATAATTTTTAATAAAAATATTTAAATTTAAGACCTTGTGAAAATAATGGGTGAATCCCAAGTAGTAGTTCTTTGTCCAGTTTTGTATTCCCCTCACTTACATCTTGCTTGATTTAATACATTTAACATCTATTTTGAAAGTTTAATAAATGTTGTTTAGAGGAATATTAAAGTTGAGGTCTTGTAATCAAAATTGCTTCCTACAGAAAGTCCTATATATCTTAGTGTTTTTCTGGATGAATTATACTGCTCAATAATTCTATTCTCCAGGGCCTGTTGTCTTGAGAAAAATTCACACTGGCTTGACCAAACTGTTTTATAAATGCATTCAATCTGGGTGTCAGAGAAATGATTCATTAGTTAAGAACCCATATAGTTCACACCATCTGTAACTCTAGCTCCAGGGGATCTGACACCCCCTTCTGGCCTCCAGGGGCATTGCACCCATGTGTAATACCCACACACCAACACACAGACATACACATAAATTAAATATGTATTATTTTTCTGTTTAGAGGGAATGCCTTAAGACCTAGCCATTCACAAAGTCAGCTGAATATACAGTGTTCCTACCACAATCAAAGGTGAAATTGGAAGGTCTTGCATGAATCAGACAGGGTGCCCACTTTTCTGATACATCTGGATAAATGCCTATTTCTTCGGTTTCAGATGTTTGCTTTGTGCCAGTCCCCAAACAAAGCATCATGGGATCTCCAGGAGCTAGGCACACCAGATGGGTTTATCGTTTCACATTTAAATTCTGAATGCTTCTTGTTGGGAGATCAGATCGTGTTTTCAAACCTGCTGATGTCATAATGACACAGACACTTGTATAGAGGGTCATCTCCCTACTAGAGCAGTGAACCCCCAAAATGCAGCTGAAGTAACTGGCTTTTGCTTTGATCCCTCTGCAGTTTGACAAGTACCCCACCAAAGTTGACCCCTTCTACCGGCATAGTGTGAGTTTTACCACTGCACATTCACTGTAACCCCTTTTCCATTTTGGGTACTCTTGCCTGGTCATCTCTGGGAGAGTCTCCCCATTGCTCCTTTATCATGCGGGGGTGCTTGCTTGTGTGGCATTTTGCTTCTCATGACAATGCAGTATCATCTTCTGAATCAAAATATCCATCAGCCAGGTGTGGTGATGCACCTGTTATCCCAGCACTAGGGAGATGGGGCAGGAAGATCAGGAGTTTGAGGTAATCCTTGGCTATATAACAAATTCAAAGACAACCTGGGCTATTATGAGACTCCATCTCAAAAAAGCAAAATCAACAAAAAATCATAAGCATTCCCCAGGTTGGAATTTTCAGGTACCTGGCAGCTGTCCATCTAGTGGTCTGGCTGTCAGTAGAATTGTTACTGTCTCAGGAGAGTCTGGAATCATGAATTTCCAAATGCCATAAACCCAGAACTCCTGGAATTTAACTTTAATTATAGACATCCCTTATCTTTTGACTCATGACTCTTCAAAGATAGTTTCCTTTCTCTCTAGAACAAAACACAATTTTTTTTCTTATCCATACTTTATTTTAATTAGGAAAAAAAGTCCTTAATTTTAGGGACTGGAGAGATGCTCAGCAGTTAAGAGCACTGGCTGCTCTTGTAGTAGACCTGGGTTTGATTTCCAACACCCACGTGGCAGCTCACAACCATCTGTAACTCCAGCTCCAGGAAATTTGGTGCCCTCTTCTGGCCTTCATGGGCATTGCATACATGTGGTGCACTCACATACATTCAGGCAAAACCCTCGTACACATAAAAAGATAAAAGCTAATTCTAAAAAGGTCTTAGTCAGGCAATGGTGGTGCACACCTGTAATTCAAGCACTTGGAAGGTAGATACAGGAGGATCAGAAATTTCTGGCCAGCCTGCAATACCTGAAGACCTTGTATAGAAAAAAACAAAACAAAGCCTTAGAATTGAAACTAGTGTTGTTTTTCTCTTCAAACTCATTCTGCTTTATTTAGAAAGCAGTTCTGCTCTGGTCGATTTTTAAGAATACATTCCAGAATATAAATTGGTCACAACCTGTGTCCTATGTTCAGTTAGGTATGAATCAAAGGCTTTTTTTTTTTTAATATTTTAGTGTGATATTTTGATTCTGGGGTGAACACAACATTTTTTCAAGCTGAACCTTTGCAAGTTTATTTGCTTACTAGTTACTTTGTATTTTAAATGGAAACAAGGAAGATTAGTCATTGTATATAGCCACAGTGATGTGGAGTCTCACTGTGCAGGTCTTATCTCCTGTGTACAAATGCTGCTTAATAGATCAGCAAAGACTGTTCATTCAGGCTTAAATAATGTGGATGCTGTTTGCTAGGCAAGAGTATAACTGAAACATCAAGACTAGAAAATACTAGAAATCCATTAGACTTGTTTCCTGTCTAGAAGTATTCAGAGATGACCCAAGGTAGGCCTTCTGAAAAGGGAATTCAAAGAACTGGGGATGAGCTCAGTTGGTTTTGCCTAGCATGCATGAAGCCCTGGGTTCCTTCTCCAGCACTGAATAAAACTGAGCATGGTTTGTACATGCCTGTAATCCCAGTACCTTGGAGATGGAGGCAGGAAGATCAGGAATTCAGGGTTGTTCTCAGCTACATACCGAACTTGAGGCAAGCCTAGGTTACATGAGACCCTGTCTCCTAAAAAAGTATGTGGGGAAGAGAATAGAGAAATGCATTTGAAGGTGCTTGAGAGATGGCTGATGGCTTGATAGTTTGGAGCACTCGCTGCACTTGTAGAGGAACAGAGTTTAGTTCCCAGCACACATAGGTCAGGTGGCTCACAATCAGCTGCAATTCCACTTCCAGGGAATCTGACTCCCTTTTACACCTCCACAGGTCCACGCACGCATGCGCACACACAAATTTTAAAATTAAATTTATTAATTTTAAAAGAAAAATAAAGAGAAGTATATTAGAGTGACTCACTGACTCGTGACTCATCCTGGACTGCTGAGCACCATGACACAAAAAAACGGTTTTTTAGTTTTTCAAAATCTATGGGGTTTCCCCTTTAAGCATGTCCTATGCAGTTTATTCTTCCCATTGGCATTTTGCAGTTTTAAATGAAGGACCAGGTGTTGGGGAGATGTCTGATTTGGTAAGGTGCTTGCTGCCTGAACACAAGGAGTTTGATCCCTAGGAACTAAGTACAAAAGCTGGGAGTGGTAGAACACACTTGTAATCCTAATACTGGAAGATGGAGACAGGAGGATGCCTGGGGTTTTCTGGCCAATCAGCATAGTGTGGAAATGGAGAGCTCCAGGTCCCTGTCTCAAAAAACAAGGTAGATGGACCCAGGGAGATGGCTCAATGGGTATGGAGGTATTAACAAGTCTGGCGACCTGAGTTTGATCCCCAGGACCCACGTAAAGGTGGAGAGAACAGACTCCATAAAGTTATCCTTTGACCTCCACACACACATTGTGACACCCATGCACCCCATACAAACATCATGCATTCACACGTGTGGTTGCACATAAATAATAATAATAATAATATGCATACACTCTAATAATAAATAATAATAATAAATAAATAAGATTAAAAACAAGATGAGCAGCTCTCAAAGAACCACACTTGAGATTGACCTCTGGCCTCCACATTCAGATGCACACAGGGCACACCACCTGTATGCACATACCCATAACACCCCCCCACATATACACACACAAAATATTAAAATAAATGTGAGACTGGAGAGGTGGCTTAATGGTTAAGAGTACTTGCTGCTCTTACACAGGACTTGGGTTCGATTCCAGCACCCACATGGCAGCTCAGAACTATCTCTAACTCCAATTCCAGGGTATCCAACGCCCTCCTCTGGCCTCAGAGAGTACAGTGTGCACATGGTGCACTTACATTCAGGCAAAGTCATACACATGAAAAATTAATTAAAGGCAAGCTAATGAAATAATTCTCACAGAAAATGTCATCTGCTCAACAGGTGGCTCAGGCTGGCTTCCTAAGACCAAATTCAGGGCCTTTCTACATATAACCCACAGAAGGTCCCAGGGCTAAAGGTAGACGGAGAGAACCCTGAGTGCCCAGAAGTTTTTGTTTAATGACTGAGCCTCTTCCAGCTTTTAAACAGGGGGAACAGTCAGTCACACTTTCATTCTAAATCTGCCACAGAGGAAAGCAAGGAGGTATAGACCTCCTCCCCTTTTTTTCTCTTTTTCTTTCTTAATTGTAGCCATTATAGGGGAAAGGGCTACCTGGAGGCAGAGTCATAGAAACTTGAGTGTTTTAATATGGTGTGTATTTAATTACTCCTCTTTAGTCAACGCACTGGGAAGATTTATTTTATAATATTAGCCGTAGCGGGTAATATATGAAGCACCTTCCCCTGCTCTGAGGATAAGGATGTTATAAGGCGAATTGAGATGCAGCGTGCTCAAGTAGCTAAAACACAATTTGAGACTTAAAAGTAGTTTTAAATGAGGGTACTTGGCTTGCAATCACTGTTTAAGTGGATTTAGTTCAATATCAATTAGTCTGAAAAACCTTGCATCTTTGTAGAGAGTAAAATGAAATAGAGACCAACAGAAAAAAACACAGGCTGCAACGATAGGGTTGAGAAGTGTAAATTCCAGTCATTATCAGAAATACCTAGCTTAAATGCATTATTAAGAAAACTTGCTGTTGTTCTTGGTTGTTTTTTTGGGGGAGTTGGGTTTTTGTTTTTGTTTTGTGTTTTTTTTTTTTTTTTTGAGATAGGGTCTTACTATGTACCCTGACCAGCCTGGAACTTGCTGCATAGGCCAGGACAGCCAAAAATGCACAGAAATCTACCTGTCTCAGCCTCCCAAGTGCTGGAATTAAAGACATGTGCTACCATGCTCTGGTTTTGCTACTTTAATTTTAACTTATTAGACAACCACAAGACTTGGGTGTTCAAATACCCATATGATAGTTTAATCATAGAATCAGAAATAATGAGGTTTTTTTTTTTATAAGGGGGAAACGAGCTCACATGGTCCTTGTACTGCTTTTTGTCTGTTCTCTGTTGTTCTTTTGTTTGTTTTCCCTCGCTATTGTGTATGGATTGTAAGCCAATGAGTCTGGAAAACTCAAATACTTCATTGGAAACCATCTTTGTCCTGCCATTCACTGGTCAGAATCATATCCATGGCTTGACTCCCATAACCTCAGGGAGCTTGTTCCCGAGCAGATCACACACTGAAAAGAAGCTGGAAAGATCCTGCTTTCTATGCAAATACACATCATCCTTTAAATACCTGAAGGTCTGGGACACAAGTTACTTAAAACTAAAACATAGTATTCCAGACTCCCAAGTTAACTCCTTTACTTTAAATGCTCAGGGATAGGAGATAATATTTGATGATTCTCTATAGACTTTCTACAAAAATTGGCAGTTCCCTTTCAAATGTAGACTATGTCATTTAACCCTCTAGAAACATTCATGATCATTTGAGATGAGAGGATTAAATTGCCCTCTGGAATTACCACTTGTAGAACAATGCAATAAAACAAGGATTGTGACTATCTGGAGTTTTCCTCAAAGTACCAAACATCTAAATTCATCTAAAACTAATTAAGTTTTAATGTTATGAAATCCTGGCCCTCATAAAGACTTGCATGTCTACTTCTTTTCGTTATCTTAAATTTTCTTCTTTCCTAATTCCATTGTAATTTTCTGGGCATCGTGTTGGGCTCAGCATCCCCTCCTGTTTTTGATATGCATCGAGGGCTTCTGTGAGATTTCCCAATTAATAATTAGCCGAGCTCCCTCTAATGATGGTCTCTTCGGGGACATCATTTGTTGGCCGATTGATTCTGAACTACTTTTTAACTTTCTGCATCTGCGTGTTCATTTCATTGTAGCTTGGCTAATGGCATCACACCGAAATTGGTTGGCTTGCTAATGTCATTGTCTTCCTATGGGGGGAAGGGAGTTGGGACATACCACATAGCCTCCTACTAAAACCTTTGTTGTTGTTGTTGTTGTTGTTTTGTTTTGTTTTTAATCCCTCTCCCTCTCTGGCCACAGCTCTTCCACTCCTATCCTCCCGCAGTCTCGGGGATACCCCCCATGATCCCACCCACGGGCCCTTTTGGTTCACTTCAAGGAGCATTTCAACCTAAGGTAAGAACCTCAGAGTGGAGACAGATGGGGGCATGTTTCTTAGTGGAGGGCCAGGCTAGGCATGCAGGTAGGTTGTGCATACACTGGTCTCTGGTGACGAGTTTACACACCCAAAGGGGGTACCAGGAATCAGGGCAAAACAATTTTTTTCTCATCTATCTACTTTTAAATGCCATCAGAAATGTAACTTGTGGTCCATTGAGCTAAGATTTTCTATATGTTTTAAAATATACAGAATAGGGGCTGGAGAGATGGCTTAGTGGTTAAGAGCACTTGCTGCCCTTGAAGGGACCCAAGTTTGGTTCCCAGCACCCACATTGGGCAGCTCACAACAGCCTGTAACTCTAGATCCAGGGGATTCAACATCCTCTTCTGGGTTTCTCCTCTCTTGTGTATACACACACACATACACACGCACACACACATATAAAAACAAAATATGCAGAATATATACACTATAGATACATATATACATTTTCCCTCCTATACTGTGGGCATGGGTTTAAGTCTTTTATTAGCATATATAAATTATATATAACAAGTTTCATTATGACAGCTGCATACATGTAGATGAGGTATCTTAATCACATTCACCCTGTTACCCTCTCTTGTCCCCTCCTACTCCCAATGATCTTCCTGAAACCATCTAGTTGACCTTCTAATTTCATGTCTTTTTTTACCCCCCTGTGAACTACTGTGTTTACTAGTGTTGCTTAAAGAAGCATGTGCAAAGGATTGTGTCCTAGTTATTTTCCATTGCTGTGATAAAACACTGACCCAAACCAACTTGAGGAGGAAGGACTTTATTCCATCTTCCTCTTCCAAGTGACCGTCCATCACTGAGGGAAGCTAGAGCATGAACTTAACTAGGGCAGGAATCTGGAAGTAGGAGCTAGAACACAGACCATGGAGGAACACTGCTCCCTGGCCCTGTGCTCAGCCTGCTTTCTTATACAATACAGGACCACCTGCCTAGGGGTGGCACCACCACATCACTCAACAATCAAGACAATGCCTCACAGACATGGCCACAGGCTAGTCCCCTAGAGGAAATGCCTCAGTTGAGGTTCCCTCTTCCCAGGTGTGTCAAGTTGACAACTGAAGCCATTCAGCACAGGTGGTTTGTAGGCACACACGAACCTTCCCAGTGGCTGTTCCACTGAAGAAAATGGTCTGAGTTTCTTTTTGGGAATTCCACTAAACACACCAAGCTGGCTTTGAGGTTTGCACTATGAATAGATATGCAAAGTTAAGTGTTGATTGGTTTTAACAGGAGGGGTGATGAAAGTTCACAAACTAAAATTGTTCCCTTTTCCTTTTGTCTGGAAAAGATTTTTCTACTGACTGTCTCTCCCTCTCTGTACCCTGTGTCAACCACGTGTCTATGGCCAGGATCTGCTTGAGAGTTCCACAACAGATGTTCACTTTATCTCCCTCTCTGCTCATTCCTGGTTATGCCTGTATAACCCATCACTACCCCCATCACCATCATCCCCATCACCCCCATCTTCAGCCCATTGCCCCAACCCTATCACTTCATCACTCCAATCACCACCCCATCACCCCAACCCCATCACTCACATCCAACATTTCAACCCCCCTCAGCCCATCACCACCCCCATACTCACTCCTGTCAAAGTCAACATCTGTTCCTTGTTTCTTACATGCTACTTCCTAATTCACCTTTTACTATTCATAAGAATTAAATTTTATCTAGTCAATGATATATATTCAACATGGGTTTGGTTAACTCTGTCAATGTTAGAGTAATTTTCACATTTGACCTTTCTAAAATCTAATGTGGTAGAGCTGGGGACATGGCTCAGCACTGGAGCACTAGCCAAGAGATTAACTGGGGTGTGGCTCAGTGGTAGAGCACCTGCCTAGAATCCCCCAGTGAGGGGCTGGGAGTGTATCTCATTGGTAGAGTACCTGCCTAGAAATCCTCCCCTTCCGGGAGGGGCTGAGGGTGTGGCTCAGTGGTAGAGCACTTGCCTAGTCTTCACAAATGCCTGGGTTCAATCCCAGCACATCAAAAAAATTTTTTTTTAATTATCCTCTAGCCCCTATTTTATTTAAATACAAAAAAAAAAAGTGAAGATTTAAAAGTTGAGATGGTATGCTCTCTGTGGTTTGGTTTTCTACCCCTTCCCCTGCCACCATCCCATTCCTAAGCTTAAACACTAGTTTGAGGCCAGAGTCTCCCAGACTGAACACATACATTTTCAAAGGGATGTTTCCATTGAGAGAGAGAGAGAGAGAGAGAGAGGAGAGAGAGAGAGAGAAATTAAAAAGGCATTAGGGATGGGATAACCAAATCTTCAAAATCACACTTTAAGAGTAGGGAACTACAGCTTGTGTTTACACCCTGGACTTTTACAGTGACCTCCATGAGTGATGGTGATTTTTAAATTCCTTCCCTTCAGTCTGTTCTTCCTGCATCCCCTGGTCTGTCCCCACTATGTTGAAACAGATCTCCAGTATGTCCCTAAGCTGACTGGTAGGTCATTTAATAAATTAGACTATTTTCTTCACTTGCAATTATCCAATCACACCACAAACTACATCTGGGCAAGAAAATGTCTCTCTTGGTGTTCAGATAGGCCTTTCCAGGCCATCTTCCTGATTGAATATGTAGATTGCTGTTCATTAGTAGAGTTCTTCATATGTATGCAAATCAGGCTGTTAACAACTGCAGCTTAATTGTTAGTTTTACAGCAGATGATTGCTTTTTTTCTTCCATTCTTTTTTCCCCCTTTCCCCACTTCTTGTAGGCTGGCTTCATGCCTAAACTTGAGCTTTTCCCCACCAGCAATACAAGTTAACTTCTGGCATGAGGAATCAGTACAGATACAGCTTTTTAAAAAATATATCTGAGAGCTGATGAGGTGGCTCAGCTGATAAAGATGCTTTCCAGCAAGCCCAAATACCTGAATTCAATACTAGTGATCCACGTGGTGGGAGAGAAAGATCCAACTCCTGCAAGTTGCCCATAAATTCGTGAAGCGTTCCATATTTCAAAAAAAAAAAAAAGTTTGAGCCAGGTGTGGTAGCACAGGCCTTTAATCCCAGAACTCCCAGAGGCAGGCGGATCTCTGTGAGTTTGGGGCCAGCCTGATCTATATAGCAAGTTCCAGGCCAGCTGGGACTACAGGGAGACACTGTCTCAAAAAACAAAAATAACTACTACTACTATTTATTTTAAATTGTAGTCCCATAAGACAGTAATGACTGCTCCCCCCAAAGTGAGCTTTTGTTATTGATTCAGAAGACAAAAGTCTAGAGTTTGTTAATATTATAGGTGATATTTAAGAATGGTGGTGGGAACTGGAAGAACAAAAGCAGCATTTAATAGCAAATCTTGTGTGGTCCCCAAATTAGGTTCTCTCGTCCCATTTTCACCATAGCTAATGAGTAATTACTGAGTGTAATTTTGTATTATTGTCTGCTAGTTAAAATTTAGAGTTAGCTTAATGTCTATAGAATGCTGTCAGCTCTTCTGAGAAGAAGCACCTGATGTAGCAATTTATTATAATGTGCATTTAAGCATTTCTTGTAGTGTTTGGTGATAAAGCAAAAAAAGATGCTAGTAATAAGTAAAAAACAGTGTCAGCCAGTGGTGTGGGTTAATGGGGAAGAGAGCTGGAGCGTGAAAGTTACCCGTGTTGCTTCAAAGATTAATTTTTAATTATATGTGTATGTGCATGTGAGTACAGGGGGCTACAGAGACCAAAAGAGGGTGTTGGATCACCTGAAACTGGAGTTAAGGACAGTTGTGAGCCCTCCTATGGGTACTTGGAACCAAGCCTGGGTCCTCTGTAAGAGCAGCCAGTGCTCTTAACTGCTGAGCCATCTCCAGCCTCCTCAAAGATTTTTTTTTTATGTATGTGTGTATCTGTATATGGGTATGCGCACATGTAAATGCAGTGCCCATAGAGGCCAGAAGAGGGTGTGACATCCCCTGTAGCTGGAGTTACAGGTGGCTGTGAGCTGCCTGACATAGGTGGTGGAAACTGAACTGAGGTCCTCTGCAAAAACAGCAAGCACTCTTAACCATTGAGTCAGTTCTCCAGCCCTCTGTGTTGCTTTTTGTTAGATCACAGAGACTTTGACTTTTCTCAGAAAAATAAGGTGGAGGCTGGCCAGGCATGGTGGCACATACCTTTAATTCTAGCCCTTGGAAGACAGGGGCAGGCAGATCTCTGTGAGTTTGAGTCTGAGTCCAGCCTGGTCTACATTGTGAGTTCCAGGCCAGCCAGGGTTGCATAGTGAAAACCTGCTTCAAAATTTTTTTAAAGTAAAAAGAGAAAATAGAGGGAGATAAATTAAGAAAGATAACTAGTGTGCACCTCTGGCTTACACATGCATGCAAGCACATGCACACATGATCATGTATGTACACAGAAAGATAAAAAAGAAATAAGAGCCAGAATTTAGAAAGAGGCTACAGATAAAACTTCATTTCTGCCATTTAACAAAAAGGAAAGAGCTTGTTTTGTATCTCATGTCAGTGTTCTGTATGTCCTAAACTGTGGTCTCATTAATTTGTAGACATCCAACCCTATTGATGTGGCAGCTCGGCCTGGGACAGTCCCACACACTCTCCTTCAAAAGGACCCGAGGGTACGTGCACAGTCAGGCTTGGTCACAGGTAATAACGGGGGTGTTTACAGGGGACAGCCCACCCAGGGCTCCCACCTTCAATGGCTCATGTCAGAAAATGCCCATCATTCAGGAGAGTCACTCTCTCCTGAACCCCAGAAATGACACGGGGTAATGACTTGGGCAGGACAAAAGTATCTGAGCCCAGAAACTGGATGCAACCAGCCTCTCTCTACCTTCCACCTGCCCAGTCTTCTCTGACTGCAACTGCTTACATTTCTCCTGCACAAAAGGAATAGCTGTAGAATATTTGGAATGGAAAACCACTAAGGGCTTTCTTCCTGTAAGTCAGGCACCCTCTCACTCTCTTGCCCAAGGTCAGGAAGTTACTGGACCTCTCTGCTCTTGCAGATCCAGCATGCTCTAGAGCTAAATAAAATATCCATTATGCCCCATATGTTATTTATGTCATGTTATTTATTCATAATTGATGCCAACCCTAAACACTGCCTTCTTCCTAAACAGGAGGCAATGCCCAGTGGAGAAGACCTTGTCTCTTAACTGTCTTTTATAACTTAACTCTCTCAAGCATCTTTTATTTTGGTCACCTATTTATGAGACTAAGTCCTGTGAGTGACACATGCTTATAGAAGGGAGGATATTATAAAGACAGCCTGGGTCCATCTGCAGGGTTGGGGCAGGACACACCTCCCCAGGTGTGCCCCCTCTGTCCTGCCTTCATTCTGTGGTTGGTCTGAGGCTTGCTTTCCCTGAGTCCCACCAGGTGGCCTTGGCAGAACCAGTCAAAATGGAAACCCTCATGGTGTTATGAGGGAGTCGTGCTTATCGTGAGGCATGTTGCTGCTAATGGGGAAGGGGGATGTCATCTTCCATGTTCTCAGACCCCCTGAGGTTTGGGGGAGGGGACACTTGGCACTTTAGATGGTATGAAAATGGGTTAATTATTCTCTAAAAGGGCTTCATTTAAAAGTAAGATTCTAACATTTTAATTTCTCGTCCTAATGAAGCACTACAAATTTGTTAATTAGGGCAATTGTTTGAGTGACAGGCATGTAACCAAGTTGTCATTTTCTCTTCACAGTTGACAGATCCTTTCAGACCTATGTTGAGGGTAAGAGAAGCTTCTAGAAAGAACTGTTTTTGCAACCTCTGTGTGACTCCCCTGAGGGTTAAAAATACAAGTCAGTACCAAGGAAATAAGCCAGAGAGATATCACAGTGAACATTCTGAGTAACTGATGGTGGTGGCTGGATTTTTTCTGGCAGGGGAATGGGAAATGGCCTAAATTTTTTCCCTGTAAGTGATGGAGGAATGTGGGCCATTAGGTTTTTCATTAATGTAACAGACAAGCGGCTGGAGAGATCACTTGGGTTAAGAATGCCAGCTACTTTTGCAGAAGACCCAAGTTAGGTTCCCAACACTCACACTGGTTAACTCACAACTCTCTGTAACGCCGGTTCCAGGGAATCTGACGCCCTCTTCTGGCTTCCACAGGCACCACACTCACATACACATAATTAAAATGGAAACAAATCTTAGAAACATATCAGACAAAACCAGTTGGGTCTTAGGCCGGGCACGATGGTGCACACCATTAATCCCAGCACTTGGGAGGCATAGGCGGGCAAATCTCTGTGAGTTCAAGACCAGCCTGGTCTACATTGTGAGTTCTACATCAGGTAGGGCTACAGGGAGACCCTTTCTCAAAAAGACCAGAAAAAAAAAAAAAAATCAGGTCTTTTATTGTTGTTATTGTTACTATTTTTGTTTCTGTCACTTGTGAGGTATGGTCTTGCTCTTAGCCCAGACTGGCCTTGAAGTTGTGAGCCTCCTGCCTCAGCTTCCCCAGTGCTGAGATAACAGTCACATACCACCATACCCAGCTAACTCTTGTTGGCAGGTCTGACAAAAGATTTGCTAGTTAAATCTCAAGCATAAAGACTTAAGCAATAGGCTGAGTTTAGTCTCTCATGAGTCTCTTTATTTTTGCCCTGAGTACTCAATGCTAAGTGCCGTACACCTGCCCTAAGCATTCAAGTCATTTCTCTGGTCTGGGGAAAGAAGTTGTTAAACACTGGCTTGTTAATATCTATTTGAAAGTGTTCCTGAGATATGAAGCCTGGCCTGCAGCCTGGGTACAAGCTGATTTACCAGGCACAGAGATGACGGACAGAGGATGCATAGGCCAGTTCCTGGTACCTACAGTCACATAATCCCTATCTGTCCTAGTTTGTTTCTCCATTGCTGTGACAAAACACTCTGACCAATACCAACTTGGAGAGGAAAGGGTTTATTTAGCTTACATATCCCGGGTCACAGTTCATCTGGGAGCCCAAGGTAGGAACTCAGGGCAGGAACCTGGAGGCAGGAGCTGGAGCACAGGCCATTGAGGAACGCTGCTTACTGGTTTGCTCCCCTGGCCCCTGCTCAGCCTGCTTTCTTATGCAACACAGGCCCCCCTGCCCAGGGGTGGCACCACCCACAGTGGGCTGGGCCCTCCCACATCACTCATCAAGAAGATGCCCCTCAGACATGGCCACAGGCTAGTTCAATAGAGGCAATCCCCCGATTGAGGCTCCCTCAACCCAGGTGTGTCAAGTTGACACAAAAGCGATCCAGCACACTGTCTTAGTCACTTTTTTCAGTGCTGTGACAAAATTCCTGAAAAAAAGCAACTTAAGAAAGGAAGGGTTTACTGTGGCTCACAGTTTGAGGCATAGTCCATCATGGTGGGAAGGCATGGTGGCAGGAGTGTGAGGCAGCTGGTCACATGGCATCCACAGTCAGGAAACAGAGAGATGAATGCTGGTGTTCAGCTCTCTCTTTATTCAGTCAAGGGCTGCCATGGGATGGTACCACTCATATTATCGACATAACCCCTCATAGGCATGCCTAGAGTTAACCTAATACAGATAATTCCTCATGGGTGTTGCCAGAGGCTTGTGTCCTAGATGGTTCTAGATCCTGTCACGTCTACAGTCAGTATTAACCATCACAACAATCCCCTTATCCAATGGCTACAGGAGCACCATGTCTTCAGTTACTGGAAACACTCTATTATTTGTGATTACAAACAACCATTAATTGCATTACAAGAAAGCACATCAGGAGCAGCTCTTGACCACAGAAACCAGGAGCTCCTTTGCTGTTGTAGAATGGGGCCAGGTTTTCTTCTTACCCATATGGTAGTTACTGAACAGAAAGGAAATAGGAAGAGGTGGCCCTGCCCTCTGCTGCCAGACATGGACTGATGTATGTTCCTCAGAGGGTGGAAGAGACACTTGGTACCTGTAAAAGGGAAGAAATTCTTTCTTCCTCTCCTCCTCTTTCTCCTTTTCCTCTTCTTTTTAACTTAGAAGTGAGTACCATTCTATCACCCAACCACAACATAAATGTAACAAGTCTGGAGAGATAGCTCAGCTCTTAAGAGACTTGCTGCTCTTGTAGAGGACCTGAGGTCAGTTCCCAACACCAAGTCAGGTGACTCACAACCACCGGTCACTCCAGCTCCAAGGGATCTGATGCCCTCTTCTGGCCTCCACAGGCATCTGCACTCACATGCACATATACAAACATACATACCACACATATACATAATTAAAAAAAAATAATAAATATGTTTTTTAAATGTGTTGAATTTCTGTTTAGCACTTTGGGGGTTAGATAGGCCCAGTACCCAGTCTTGTTTTGATTCAGTTCACAGACACTCCCTAATTAGCTCCTCTGGACAGCTGATTTGCATGATGGCTTGACAGCATTTGTTAGGTGGAACTTCCACTTACCAGGCCTGCCAGCTGGCAGCAAAAGACACAAGCAGCACAAAGAGAAAGTCGGGCCTTTGCCATCTTGTCCTTGGCAAGCTCAGCCTTCTAAGAAGGAGCTGCTGTCTCAGGCCCACGTGGGATGAGGGAAAACGGGTTCTGACGCCCTCATGACTTGCTGGTGGAGGACACTTGACTGAAACAAAGCTCTCTTGTTTCATGAAAGGTGGGGGGGGACCCAAAGCACTCTGTAGCCCAAATCTGCAGAGAGCTTGAGGCAGATGAAAGGTGGGTTCACAGACATGCGTCCCTCTGACCACTTATTCTTTCTTATTCCAGAAACCAGGGAAGTGGTGCGCCATGCATGTTCACATTGCCTGGCAGATTTACCACCACCAACAGAAAGTCAAGGTCAGTGCGATATTCTGGGACCGGGCAGGGTGGGGGCAGGTCTGAGAGAGTGGGAACCTGATGGAGGGGTGGCTATAACTGAGCCCAAACAGCCAAGGCGGGAGAGGTTTGGTTTTGTTGTTGTCCCTGATACTGTAGATTTGACACAGTATCAGGCAGGCCTAGGACTTGCTTTGTGGCTGAGGGTGAACTTGAACTCCTGATTCTCCTGCCTCTACCTTCCAAGGGCTGGGATGACTGGCCTGCTCCACCCTGACACCTGGCTTCCTTTCCTTGCTCACTCTTCTTTCTTTCTCTCTCACTCTCTCTTCTTTCCTTTTTGCTTTCTTTCATTTTTTTCTTTCTTTCTCTCTGTTCTTTGTTTTCTTTTTAAAAAAATATTTTATTTATTATTTTTATTTGATATGTATGAGTGTATTGCCTGCATGTAGGTAGGTGCACCCATGTCATGCAGTGCCCACAGAGGGATGCAGAAGAGGGAATCGGATCCCCTGGAACTGGAGTTACACATGGTTGTTAGCTGCTGTGTGGGTGCTGGGAACTGAAGTCAGGTCCTCTGGAAGAGCAGCTAGTGCTCTTAACTGCCAAGCCATCTCTCCAGCCCCTATTTTCTTCCTTCTTTCTTCCCTATTTCCTTCCCTCCCTTTTTTCCTTCCTTCCTTCCTTTCTTCCCTCCCTGCCTTTCCATGTCTGTATGTCTGTTGGTTTGGTTTGATGTGGGTTGGTTTTTAGACACAGGTTCACCCGTAGTCCAGGCCCACCTCCAGCTAGCTGTGTAGCAGAGGATGACCTTGAACTCCTGATCCTCTCAAGCAGGCAGGGTCAAGGGTTGTTGGCCCTTCTTGGGAACAGCATCACAATTCTCAAACTAAAAGGAGCACTGCCCCTGCTGTGCTTTCCCCTACTGGTGAGTTGGTGTTCTTATGGATAAGAGTTTAAAGGTTTTGGAAATGTAGGGATCATGAGCAAGAATTAATATGTAGGAAATACTTGTGGCTGGAGAGATGGCTCAGTGGTTAAGAGCACTGGCTGCTCTTCCGGAGGACCCGAGTTCAGTTCCCAGCATCCATGTGGCAGCTCACAGCTGTCCATAACTCAGTTATAGGGGATCTGATGCCCTAGTCTGACCTCCAAGGGCATTGCAGGACACAGGTGCACTTATACACATGAAGGCAAAACACTCACACACATTAATTAAATAATTAAAATGAAATTAAACATATAGAAAATATCTAAAGCTGAGGTTTGGGGTGCTTTTAGGTTTTTGTTGTTGTTTGTGGGTATTTTTCACAGATTTTGTTTATTTGGTATGTGTGTGCATGGACATCAGAGGACAACTTGAGAGAGTCCGTTCTCTCCTTCCACCATGTGAGTTGGTCCTGGGGATCAAACTCAGATTCTTAGGCTTGGCTGCAGATACCTTTACGTGCTGAGCTATCTTGCAGGCCACTTTTGTTGTTGTTTGTTTTTAGTAAAAATGGATAGTTTTTTCCCCAATATTATGGCTTTGGAGAAATTATCATTTCTATCCTGTAAGAATTCATTGGAAGTACATATAATCAGCAACAATGAATGAGTGCTCTTTGGGCTGCAGTACTGAGTTTATTGCATCCTTTCACAAGTCCTTCTGATGGTCAGTGCTGGGGGTAGAATATGCTAAGCCCTCACAAGGACCACCTGTGACCAGTTACCCACTGCACCTGTCTATAGATTGTTTATTATTGCTATGGTTCTTGTTTTCTTTTTGAGTTTTTGAGGCAAGATTTCATATAACCCAGACTGTCCTTGAACTCACTGTATAGCCAAGGATGACCTTCAACACCTGATCTTCCTGGCTCCACCTCCCAAGTGCTGGGATTACAGGTGTCCCAGGAGATTTTCTTCGTGTGTGTGTGTGTGTGTGTGTGTGTGTGTGTGTGTTTGTGTTTTCATGTAGAGATTCTAGATGAATAGCATGCTTCATGAAGGCCTTTCTACACAGTAGGGAAGTGCAGCCACTCTGACATAGTCTCAATACCTGGTACAAAAAGAAAGCAGCTGGCAAGTCCACATCTCAGCGTGGATGACTACCTGGAAGAGGCAGCAGAAAGTGCACAATGAGGTCATTCAAATGAGCTTCTTTTCACCCAGGACTTTGTGAAAGACCTTTTAAGGAACCTTTGTGAGAGTGGTACTAGAGACTAAAGAGGCACCTGCCTGGAAGTGTACCCTCTCATCCCAGTACCTGGAAGGGAGAAGCATGAGGGTTGGGGTCAGGAGTTCAGGACCATTCTTGACTGCATAGTGAGTTTGAGACCAGCCTGGGCTATAAGAGACCTTGTGTCAGAAAAGAGAGAGAGGACCAGCAAGATGACTCAGTGGGTAAAGGCTTGCCATCAAGCCTGATGTCCTGAGTTCAGTCCTCAGCACCCACATGGGAGAAGGAAAGAACAAAATAACAGAGTCCCAAAAGTTGGTCTCTGCCCTGCGTGCATACACACACACACACACTCACACTCACATGCATGCACGGACGGACGGATGGATGGATGGATGGATGGAAAAAAGGAGGAAAGAAAAGAGGGAAGGATGAATGGAGGGAGGAAGGAAAGGAAGGGAGGGAGGGAGGAAGGAAGGAAGGAAGGAAGGAAGGAAGGAAGGAAGGAAGGAAGGAAGGAAGGAAGGAATTGCTGAACCCCACAGAAGAAAAAGCACCTATTGCATGACTTAAAACAAAGGGTTCCATGACTTAAAACCGGAGGGTCCAACAAGATGGCTCAGAGGGTAAACATTGCTTGCTGCCAACGCTGATGACCTGGGTTCCATCCCCAGTATCCATTGATGGAAGGAGAGAACCAATTCCTGTAAGTGGTCCTCTGACCTCCATTTGTACCCGGTGACTGGCACATGCACACATTCAGACCATGAATGAATGAATGAATTAATTAATTAATGCATGAAATAGACAAAAATGAATAAATGAGCCAATGGAAAGGAAAGGCTCGTCTTGTCCTTGAGGAGCCCAGCCATTTCCTCAGCCCCCAGCACCAGTCTCCCTCCTCACCCTCCATCAGTGAGTCTTGCTCTCTTCTACCTTATTACCAGGCAAGGCACAATTAGAGGCTCACAGTTCAGCTCAGCTAGAAAATGGGTGTGCTTTCAGGAGCTAACTAGGTTTCCAGGGTGACTTCAGTTCACTCTGGATCCCAGATGACAGGATGAGGGGAAGGGCAGGTGAGACTCCATCCTCCTTTTAAACCTTCAGTTTAAAGGGATGAAGGATAACGCAGCTGCCACTCTTTGAGCAACTTCTAGACCGTGAAAAGTCCCTGGATGACCTCGACTTTCATTATCTCAATTCAATTAGCCAGACATCTCACACGGGGGATGGTACATTCATCTTCCTCCCCCAGTGAACGTTTTCTAATCCCCAAGCCCCATTCTGCCTTGTAGACCCAAGTCGCACGTAATGAGTCTGTGCCGTCTACCATGCAATATTAGCACTAAATAATTTGGCAACCAAATTAAGGAGAAGATTTTTATAGAATTACATAGAATTAGAGGCTTGGTTTAGCGGTTTGGCTGTTACTTGATAACGCAGCCTTTATTATCCCATTCCCCATAGATTGAAGCAGAAATTGCATCTCGCTCGCTCACTCGCTCTCTCTCTCGCACAGTATTCATGTATGTAAAAATTGGTGGAGATTGCTAGATCAATAAAGTGCTCGCCTTCAAGTATGAGGACCTGATTTGGATCCCCAGAACCCATGTTATAAAAAGCTGAGCTTAGCCTGGTGCAACAGCACAACACACACTTTTAATCCCAGCATACTGAAGGCAGAGGCAGGCAGCCTGATCTGAGTTTGAGGCCAGCCTGGTCTACATAGGGAGTTCCAGGGAACACAGTGCTACATAGCATGACCCTGAGACCTCCAAAAAGGAGGTGAAGGGCTTGGTAGTTCTCTTGGTAGTTATCCAAAGTTCCGAGAGGTGGAGACAGGTAGATCCCTGGGCTTGCTGGCCAGACAGCCTGGCCTTCTTGGAGAGTTCCAAGCCAGTGAAAGAGTGCTATCTTAAAAAGCAGGTGGGCAGCACCCAAGGAGATACACCTAAGGATGTTCTCTGGCCCCTACAGGCATGTGCACACACATGAACACACTTAAAGTGGTAATGTCCTGTGTGTTTCCTGATGTGTGTGGCTCCATCTCTCTTGGAGGGAAGGTGCTGGGTGAGGGAGAGCTGGCCAGTCTTCCCTCACCTGCAACTCTTATACCATGCCCTGACAATGCAGGTGCCTGTCCATCAGTTTCCTCTGTTAGAGAGCAAGACACAGACAGGTTCCTAGAGCAGGAGACAGCTCAAGGTGGATCAAGGACAGGGCCAAGAGGGCTGGGATCATCAGAGGAGCCTAAAGATTTCTTGGCAGAGGCAGGCTCAGGGCAATGAAGGAGGGCCAAAGCAGGAAGTGGAGGGCAGTGCTGGTCCAGGGAGGCAGGAAGGTGACTTGAGAGGGCAGGCTGTCAGTCTCAAGAAGATGGGAAGGTTTGATGGCATACATTTCAGAGGGCTACCCGCCTCCGAATGATGGAGGAGGGTGCTGAGAAGAACATGGTGGGCCAGTCTCTAGCTATCGAGGGAGGGAGCTAAGGATGCTGCAGGTTGCAGGTGGGTGCCTGAGCAGATGGAGTGGGTTAGTCAATGACAAAGATTTCACAACACGAGCAGATCTCCATAGTTCACAGATCTCGTCCAGCTTCCTCCTCTTCCTTGGGTAATTGGGGAAAGCAGGAAAGAAAATTAAAAGAAAGCCCCTCCTTTGTTTTCCTTTGTGTGTGTGTGTGTGTGTGTGTGTGTGTGTGTGTGTGTGTGTGTGTGTGTGTGTGTGTGGAGAGAGAGAGAGAGACATAAGTGTGTGTACTTTTTAACAAAATGTTTTATTTATAGTTTTTATTTTATGTATATGAGTATATTGCCTGCATGTATGTAAGCACACCCATGTCATGCAAAAGCTTGTGTATTTGTGTGTGGACGCCAGATGTTAACCTCAGATGTCATTCCTAAGAGTAGTCTACCTTATTCTTTAAGACAGAATCTCTCATTGACCTGGGCTCACAAATTAGGCTAGGCTGGCTGGCCAGCAAGCCCCAAGGATCTTCCTGCCTCTGCCTCCCCAGGGCTGGGATTATAAGCATACACTGCCATACTCAGCTTTTTTTTACACAGATTGTAGGGAATTGAACTCAGGTCATCATGCTTGCATAGCAAGCACTTCATCAACTAAGCTATCTCTCCAGCCCCTGTGGTTTTGGGTTTGTTTATTGTTGGGGGTTGTTTTGTTTTGAGACAGGGTCTCCTTGTAGCCCACCAGCTGGCCTGGAACTCCTATGTAGAATAGGCTGGCCTCAAAGATCTGCCTGCCTCTGCCTCTCTAGTGTGCTACCACACCCAGCCCCTATGTTCTTAAAATTCTGTTAACAGTGATCATTAGGAATAATCATGCACAATGTTCAGTTACAGTTGTGGTGTTATATATTAGAATATGAGAAAAAAACTATTAGACAGTTAATTTATACATTAGATTATTCTTGCAGAATTTCAAATAAAACAAGGTTTAAAATACTATCATTCTAAAACTTGCAGCCAGGTGTGGCAGTACAGACTTGTAATCCTAGCACTGGGGTGTTGGAATCAGAAAGATTAGGACTTCGAGGAATACCCTCAGCTACATAGTGAATTCCATGCCAGCCTGGGATCCATGGTAGCCTGCTTCAAACAATTGAACAAAAACACAAGATGTGGCTCAGTAGATAGAGTACTTGCCTAATGTATGAAGCCCTGGGTTCCATCCCCAGGACCATACAAGGCATGGTGACACACATCTGTAATCACAGGCATTGGCAGGAGTATCAGAAGTTCAAGGTCATCCTTGGCTACATTGTCAGATTGAGGCTAGCCTGGACTACTTGAGATTCTGTGTTAAAGAGAGGGGGAGACTGGCTAGGTGGCTCAGCAGTTGAGAGCACTGGTTGCTCTTGCAGAGGACCCACATGGCAATTCACAACCATCTATGACTCTAGTTCTAGGGGATCCGACGCACTCTTCTGGCCTCCACAAGCACATGATACACTTAAAAAAAAAAAGAGAGAAAAAAACATGCAAAAATAGGACTTTACAGCAAAATAATAGCCTACTTTGGGAGTGGTACTAGTTTAGTTTAGTGTTGTGTTGTGTTGTGTTGTTTTGCTTTGCTTTGGTTTTGTTTTGTTTTGTTTTGTTTCAGAGACATGGTCTTCCTGTAGCCCCAGCTGGCCTGAACTCACTAGGTAGACCAGGCTGGCCTAGATAGCACAGAGATCCCTCTGCCTCTGCCTCCCAAATGCTAAGATTAAAGGCATGCACCACCACATCCAGCTAACCTACTATTTTTTTAATAAGTAGGATCTGGTTGTGACCTTCGAACTGAACCACCTTAAAGGTCAAGCCATTTCTGGCCACCCTGCTTTCCTGGCATTTAAGAGCTTCATTCTTATATCATCTGTGTACCTGACTGGGCCTCCGAGTCCAAGCAACGGGTGGGTTCACAGTGGTGACCTTACCTGTCTTGGGCCATTCACTAATATCTCTCTTGCTTGCTGTTTACCTCCTGGCATCATCCTCCCTCCTTCCTCTTGCCGTTCTAGAAACAGATGCAATCAGACCCACACAAGCTGGACTTTGGGCTGAAACCTGAGTTCCTGAGCCGTCCTCCAGGCCCAAGCCTCTTTGGAGCCATTCATCACCCCCATGACCTGGCACGACCTTCCACCTTGTTCTCTGCCGCTGGTGAGTGCAGAAGGTGGTGTGACACAGAGAGTTGACAACTTGAAGTGGTATTTGGGCTCAGTGTCTGCAGTCACGTGCACAGTACCTAAAATAATATAGTTTACACCAGTTTGTGAGGCAGCGTTCCCACATGACGAAGGAGATAGAGCCTGCTTCATTGCACCCCTGGAGACAGACTGAGCCTTCTTGTTCACTGGCCATCCAGCCTAGCTGAATTGGCGAGTTCCAGGCCAGTGAGAGAACCTGCCTTTAAAAGTAAGTGGTATGGCTGGAGAGATAGCTCTGCCATTAAGAATGAATACTGCTCTTGTAGAGGACCTGAGCTGGGTTCCCAGCACCCACATTGGGTGACTCATAACTTCCTATACCTCCAGCTCCAGAAGATCCAACACCCTCTCTGGTCTCTGTGGATACTGTAGTCATCTAGAACACATAACCACATAAAGGTACACATGCATAATTCACAATAAAACCAAGCAGGGCATAATGGTGCACACCTTAAATCCCAGCACTTGAGAGGCAGAGCCAGGTGGATCTCTATAAGACTGAGACTAGCCTAGTAAGTTCTAGGAGTCTAGCCTAGTAAGTTCTAGGTCAGTTGGGGCTAGGGAAACCCTGTCTTCAAAAAAAATAAATAAATAAATAAAAATAAAAAAATTGAAAAGATTGAGGGCACCTGAGGACTGACATCTAAAGTTGACATCTGGCTACCACACAAATGTGCATACCTGTACACAAACACATCTGCACACACCCCATCCATCCTCACACACATAAAGAGATCATCTTTGCCCTGTGACACTCAGTTGCTTTGGCTGATCGTTTGTTTCTATGATAAACTGCTATAGCTCAAAAGCTGTTAACAAAGATTAGAGAGCTTGCAAGGGTGGAGCCGAAGGAAATGACCCCAGGGATTTGCATAAAGATGACCTTGACCTCACACCCTTAATGCTCATAGAGCAATAAGTGTTTCCTCGCTGTGACACTCATACTGCCTTTGGGGCTCTGAGGATGGTGATGTACAGTTGAGAGCTCATATCTGTCATCCCCCTGCTCAGGAAGTAGAAACAGAAAGAACACCAGTAGTTCAAAGCTGGCCTGGACTGCACGGTGAGCTCCAAACCATCCTAGGCTAGAGTATAAGCCCCTATCTCAAATCAACAAACAGCTGGGGATGTACCTCAGTTGGTAGACTGTCAAGCATGCACAAGGCCGTGGGTTCCAGTGACAGCAGTACATAGATGGGTCATGGTGGCACATGCTTATATAATTCTAGCACTTAGGAGGAGGAGACAGAAGATTCAGGAGACGAAGGTCATCTTCAGTATATACTCAGTGAGTTCAAGGCGAGCCATGAGACCCTGGAGAGATGGCTCAGTGGTTAAGAGTGCTTTCTGCTCTTGCAGAGAACCTGAGCTCATTTCCCAGCAACTGTATCAGATAGATTACAATCACCTATAACTCCAGTTCCAGAGAATCTGATGGCCTCTTCCATCTTCTGTGGGGCACACGCGCGCGCACACACACACACACACACACACACACACACATAAATAAAAAATAAAATCGTTTAAAAGTAATAACTGCTTTTTAAAAAAGCAAGCACTGAACAGAAGAGATAGTTACCTCTGGTAAGGGCTGTGGTAAGCAATGTGGATCACATTGCTTCTGGCTGTTCTACTGCAGAACTTAAGGTCATTGCCTGGTTGACTTTGGTGGTAGAGGAAGAGTAGAGACCAGGGAGCACTGTCCATGAGACTTGGAACCTGTTTATCCGTGCTGCAGGTCACTTCACCTCTGAGGATTTGAACTTCCAGTGTCCCTGCAGTGCAGAGGGCAGGCTGGGGAGGAGGGTGAAGGGGTGAGCGCACCAGAGAACTGTCCCTTTCCACTTCAGGGTTGCACAGGTGAAAGGCAGTGGCTACACGGAATATTTGGTACTGTCCTAGTTTCATTTCTGTTGCCATGACAAAGACCCTGACCAAAAGCAACTTAGGAGAGCAAAGAGTTTATTCAACTTAAAATTCACAGTCCAATGTAGACAGGAAGTCACAGAGGTGGGACTTGAAGCAGCTGGCCACATTCCATCCACAGTCAAGAGCAGAGAGAGAATAAGTGGATCCTTGCTTGCCTGTTTGATCTCAGCTAGCTTTTTCTACTCTTAACCAGCCCAGGGCTGCCTGCCTAGGAAATGGTGCTGCCCACAGTGGGCTGAGCCTTCCTGTATCAATTAGCAGTCAAAATTACCCCCCAACAGGCACACCCACAAGCCAACATGATCTAGATAATTCCTTACTTGACACTGTCTTACCAGATAATTCTAGGCCGTGATAAGTTGGTAGTTAAAACTAATCAGCACAAGATACCGTTGGTATCTGTCAAGTGTCTTTAACCATTCGTTTTTTGTTTTTTGAGACCAGACCTGGCTGAACTGGAACCTGCCTTGTACACCAGGTTGACCTCGAACTTCTGCTCTTCCTGCCTCGGCCTCTCAAGTGCTGGGATGTGCGCCACCATACCTGGCTACCATTCAGTCTTTTATTAATTTATTTATTTGAAGACAGGGTCTGGTGTGGCCCAGGAAAACCTTGAACTTCTGATTTATTTATTTTTATTTTATGTGTATGAGTGTTTTGCCTGCATGTATGTAAGTGCATCCATATTATACAATGCCCACAGAGGCCAGAAGAAGGCATTGGATTTCCCGGAACTGGAGTTGCAGATGGTTGTCGGTCAATAATGTGTGTGCTGGGAACCCAAACTGGGTCCTCTGCAAGAGCACCCAGTGCTCTTAACCTCTGAGCCATCAGATTTTGAACTTCTGATCCTCCTGGCTCTACTTCCTGAGTGCTGGAATCACAGACTATGAGCCACCACACCCAGTTTTTGTGGTGTTGAGGATAGAGCCTAGGTCTTTGTGCATACTGGGCCAACATTTTACCAACTAAGCTACATCCTCAACCCTTTCGTGATCTTTTCTAAAGCATTCATTTAGAATCCAGTCCCCACCACAGGGCTTTATCCAGTAAGTACGTAAGATCTGTGGCACTGAGCTCCTTGTAATAAGATCTATGGGTTCATATGCTCCCTGTGAAAAGTTAAATTTATCCTTTTGAACGTTAATAAATAATGGAGGGCCCCACCATTTCTGACCCTTAGGGAACATGTTCTACATCCATCCTCCCTGCCGCCTTCCCCAGGCTCTGATCCAAGACTCGTGTTTGGTAGACCCATGCACCAAAAAGAAACACTGGCTTCACTACAATAGCTCATGTGGTCAAAGCAAGCAAACCACCCTTGAGGGTAGATGGGACTGCCAGGGTCTCAGGTTTTCCTCTTGTCAGTTCCATTAGGGGAATATATTTAAAGGCTCTGTTACCATGGCACCCAGCTTTGAGACAGGGATACATGGAGAGCAATTTTGGGGAGAGAAATAGAGATTTCTCCCTGGCCTTCATTGCAGCCAAATGGATGAACAGGCTTCTTTTGCTATAGTAATTCTGGATCTGTGGGCCTCCCCAGGGGCCTGAGTCTTCAACATTAACTACCCTGTACTACACAATACAGTTTGTGGTCCAGATTGTATTTGGCTGGCAGCATCAGTGGCGACTAATGAAGGCTGTGTAGCTTGCTCACTGTGTGGAGATGGGGTCAGGGGTTGGTTTTGCACCTCCTGGTACCATGTGGAATTGGCTGGATAACCCCTTTGGTAGTCTTCAAATCTTGAAATTCTAGGACTGTGGCTGCTGTTTCTTCTTATGCTCTGAGCCTTACACTGTAAACCCAGGCTCATGAGACCAGTGATGCAAAAGAGAAATAATCAAGGACTGGAGAAAGGGTTCAGTGGGTAAAAACACTTGTCATGCAAATGTGAAGATCTGAGTTTGAATCCTTAGAACCCAGGTAAAAATGGGGCACAGTAGCATAAATCTGTAATTGAGTATTCCTACTTCTTTCTGGGAGATGGAAACAAAAGAATGCCAGGAAACTCTCAGGATAGAGTGGCTAACAAGAGACCCAAACAAGGTGAAAGGCAAGGACCAGCACCTGAGGTTGTCCTCCTGCCTCCACACACAGCCATGGCACGCACACACTACACTCAAACACAAACCTGCACATACACACAAAGATTTTTCTTTTAAGAGAAAAATTGAATCAGTAGACAGTAGCAAGACGTACATCAGGATCCTACCTTTAATGTTTTCCTGAAAATAGTTGGTACTTTCTTAAAGGAGCTTGGACAGAATGCAAGGACATGTTATGAAACCTTATTAGTAATTCATAAATCCAGACCCTCAGTATGCTTCTGTTCTAGAAGGTAATCTTGTTAGGACTATTGTATTTTGCCCCAGTGGTTATTTGATGAAACGTCAAGCTGCCATTTAAACTTGCATATACTTGTTAAATTTAATCACTTTCATCTTTGCTCTCAGGGATTCAAGCCTAAAATAAACCAAAGAGCCTCCTTCAGATGACCTTGGTGAAACATGGTAGCCAGGCCTGCCTTACTCAGAGCCTCTTCCCCAGCTGGGAACCATGTAGTAACAAGTTTGATGCTCGGAGCTTTTAGAAATACTGTTCTTTTCCCCCTTCCTTCCTTTCCCAGCTTTCTGCAGGAAGAGAAGCTGAGGTGTTGTTAAGAAATACAAATTGGGGGGCTGGAGAGAAGGTTCAGTGGTTAAGAGCACTTTATGCTCTTGCAGAGGACTGGAGTTTGGTTCCAGCTACCACATGACAGTGAATACCCCCCTGTAACTCCAGCTCCAGGACATCTGGCACCCTCTTCTGGCTTCCATGGACATATATATATATATATATACCTGCAGACAAACACTGATATACATAAAATAACAAGTAGATCTTTAAAAAATAGTAAAGTGGGAACTCTGGGCAGGGTGCCACATGCCTTTAATCACAGCACTTGGGAAGCAAAGGCGGGCAGATGTCTGTGAGATCAAGGACAGCACAGTCTATACAGTAAGTTCCAGGCCAGCTGGGGCTACAGAAAGAGCCTGTCTCAAAAAATGGGGAGCTGAAGAAATGACTCAGTGGTTAAGAGCACTGGCTGCTCTTCCAGAGAACCTGGGTTTGGTTTCCAGCACCTACATGGCTGCTAACAATTATCCATAACTCCAGTTCCAGAGGATTTAATACCCTCTTCTGGCTTCCGTGGGCATTGTACACATGTGGTATACTTACATACATGCAGGCAAAACACTCATACATATTAAAAAAACAAATTTTTAAAGAACAAGGTGGAGAATGACTGAGGAAGACAACTAATATCAATCTTTGGCCTCCATAGATATTCACACATGTGCATGCACACACACGCACACACACATGCACACACACACGCACACACACACACACACACACACACCTTTTCTCATGGTGGCTAACCCAGCTGGGAAAGACGGAGGGATGAGCAGCTTCTTTTGTCCCTAACATTATCTGTTATGTACTTGTTGCCTGCAGAGGCCACAGGTGGACTTGAGCCTGACTTCATATTTTCTGGTGAGCCCTCCAACAACTTTCGGAGCCACTCGCTTCCTAGAAGTAAGCATTCTCTAATCACTAACTTGGTTGTCTGGTTTTTCAGGTGCTGCACACCCTACTGGGACGCCTTTTGGGCCACCTCCTCATCACAGCAACTTCCTAAACCCTGCTGCTCACCTTGGTGAGTCCACAGGACTCTGTGTCTCTTGCTCTTGACTCCTGTCAGTCTTCTGTGCAGGGGGGCCGTGGTGTCCACTGCATTCTATAGCATGAAAGAGCTGGTCTGGATCTCTTGCCACCCCAGCCACAGTAGACCCTTGCTGAGTTAAATGGCGGTTGGGTTGTATTAGTGACTTTCTCAAAAACATGACAAAAGCAACTTAAGGAGGAAGGGTTTATTGTGGCTCACAGTTTGGTGGGAAGACATGGCGGCAGGTGCGTGAGGCAGCTGCTCACATTGCATCCACAGTCAGGAAGCAGAGAGAGATGAATGATGGTGCTCAGCTCGCTTTCTCCTTTTTATTCAGTCCAGGATCCGCCCATGGGACGTGCTGCCCACATTCAGGGTGGGTCTTCCTACCTGAGTTAATCTCATCCAGAAACTTCCTCACAGACACACACCCAGAAGTTTGTCTCCTAGGTGATTCTAGATCCTATCACGTTAACAATCAGTATTAACCATCACAAGAAGGTTTGGGTGGGGAACTATTACTTGGTGTCTCAGAGCATGTTTATTTAGTATGGCCTCTCCTTGCCCATGCCCCACACTGAACGGATCCTCCAAGAGGCAGAACGAAAGTTCAGATGGCTGTTAAAAAGAGCTGTGACTCTGCTATTGGTTACTGTTAACATGTCTCTTCCTAGATGGGTTTGTACCTCTTATGGCCTTTTCATTTGATGTTTCTGGATGATGTACAAGCAGTCAAAAGCAGTCATAGATAGTGGTGTGACCAACAGGGAATAACGTATAGGAGGAATGTAACATCGAGATTTGCTTGAAGATGTCAGCTCACTTTTATTCATGTGTGTGTTTAACTGAGAGATGGAGGTGAGGTGGAAGGATACATTCAAGGCTAGCCTTGACTATATTGCAAGTCTGAAGCCATCCTGAGGTAATTGAGATCCTGTCTCAAAAAAGTGATTTTGGAGGCAGGGAACCCAGGCAGAAAGGCAGCTTAGAACACTGGTGACTGAGATTTCCCAATCTCAGAATGGGACACCATCCTGGAAAACAAGCCCCTTATGACTCTTGCTAACCCACTGTCTAAGTCCAGGTAAAGGAAAACCCTTTACACAGTCCAGAAGGGAAATCAGGACACAGGAAGGAGGGAATCTGCATGCCTTTCTCAACTCCCAGGACCCCCAGTTCCTCACTCAGAAGAGTCTCTAACTATCTCTGCTCCCTATCTCCTTCACAGAGCCTTTTAACCGACCGTCCACATTCACGGGCCTCGCGGCTGTTGGCGGCAATGCCTTCGGGGGACTTGGAAACCCTTCAGTTAGTGAGTACCTCTCACTTACTATATCTGCCTTGGATAATCTCTCTGTTCTATACATGTATGACTCAAGACGTTATCTAGAAAAAGGGAAACTGTACTTTGAGAAAAATATTTTAAGCTGAGGATATGGGTGACAGAGCACTTGCCTAGAATCCACAGTGAGGGGCTGGGGATGTGGCTCAGAGGTGGAGAACCTGCCTAGAATCCCCCAGTGGGGGGCTGGGGTGTGGCTCAGTGGTAGAGCACCTGCCTAGAATCCCCCAGTGGGGGAAGTAAAAAGTGAAAAGAGGGCTGGGAATGTAGCTCAGTTCATGGTAAGAGCACTTGCTTACAATCTCTAGTGATGGCATTGCTCAGAGGTAGGGCACCTGCCTAGAATCCCCCAGTGGGGGGCTGGGGTGTGGCTCAGTGGTAGAGAACCTGCCTAGAATCCCCCAGTGGGGGGCTGGGGTGTGGCTCAGTGGTAGAGCACCTGCCTAGAATCCCCCAGTGGGGGGCTGGGGTGTGGCTCAGTGGTAGAGAGCCTGCTGCCATGAGCAAGGCTCTGGGTTTCATTCACAGCACCACCAAAAAATAATAATAAAAAAATAGAGACAAAACAAATGTGGGTTAGATCATTCCAAAACTAGGTCTTACAGTGGAGCTGGGTCTAAGTACGCAAACCTCCATGGTAAACAGAGCTTACTGTTCATGGAGGTTACTCTGGGTTGGGAATGGTGATGTGGTCACTCACTCCAGGAAGTTTCCTTTAGCTCAAAAGAAAAAAAAAAATCTTAATTAAATTTTATTTTACAGTATTTTCATCTTGGCCTTTGACATAGTAGGACTGAAAAAATACAGTGAGGACTAGCAAGCACGGAGGGTGGCACTCAGAGGGTCCTTGCCTGGCATTCACAGAGCCCTGGGTTTCATCCCCAGCTCTGTAGAAACTGAGAGTTGTGTCAAAGCCCTGTAATCCCAGCACTTCGGAGGTGGAGGCAGGAGTTCAGGGTCAGCCTCAGCTACATAGGGAACTTGAGGCAGCCTGGTCTACATGAGAGCCTGTCTCAAAAAAAAGAATGCAATACAGAGCATGCAGACCTTGTACATGTGTCTACTCAGGACACAATCCTGCTGGGTCTTTTTGAGAGATCATTTTGACTGATGATGGAAGGAGTCATGGTCAGCAGGGTGTGGCAGGCAGAGGACCTATGAATTGTGCAAAAGTGGCCTGTTCATCTGTCCCACCATCATAGCATACCTCTTTGCATGCTGGGAACTTCTGCATGCCCACATCTGTCCTCACAAGGTGTCTGCATACCTGTTCTATCCCTTTTCCTAACTTTTCACTCTTCATTAAAACTTTTTTTTAAAAAAGCTATGAACTTAACCTCTGCAGCATAGGACAGCGTTCGTCTAATGAATGTGTTAATCTCTCCTTTTCCAGCTCCCAATAATATGTATTCATTTTAACTCTGAATGCTGTTAAGAGTTTTTTGGTAAGTACCTTCATTATGACAGATTTCTATTAAGATTTCTCTGAAACCTTTTTTGTTCTCCACTTCACCATTTCAGCACCTAACTCAATGTTCGGCCACAAGGATAGCCCCAGTGTGCAGAACTTTAGCAACCCTCACGAGCCCTGGAACCGGCTGCACCGAACGCCTCCATCGTTCCCGACCCCTCCGCCCTGGCTGAAACCAGGGGAGTTGGAGCGCAGTGCGTCCGCTGCAGCCCATGACAGAGATAGAGATGTAGATAAACGAGACTCCTCCGTTAGTAAAGATGACAAGGAAAGGTACGCAAAGAATCCGCTCTCGAGTCCCGGCCTCTGTCCCAGCCTCGCGCTTCAGCCCCCCTTAGCCCTCAGTTCCTTCCCAGGCAATGTCAGGCAGCCCTTCCAGTACCCTAGTGCACGGAGCAGGCGGTGACCATAGCCTATTGGCAGGGCATAGTGCAAGGTGCCTATTTCAGTACCAAAGACACGCACGAGCCACCCAGCATGCCCGGAACGTTAGTGTCCCTCTAGAAGACAGCCAGTCAACGTGGGAACCAAACACACACAGCATGAATCTGCCATGTTTGTGAAGTCCATCCAGTCACCATAGGTTTTTTTTTTTCCTCTTCTTTTCTCTCTCTTTTCATTTGCTTCTAGAAATTCATGTTTACATTGCCTCATTTTTTTTTTTTTCAAGTTTTGTTCAAACTCTAAACCCTAGGGCTCACAGATAACCAGCACCATTTTTTTTTTTTTTTAAACTAACTTGAATTTAGAGAACCGTCAGCAGAGCTTTGGTTTCCATTTGGTTTTGCCAGAGGATAATCAATTCTGTTGACCATTGCTGTGTCTGTATTTGGTAACCCTTGACTTAAAAAGCTTAAAAGAGGAAAACTGCTGTAGAGTATTCTGTGAAGAATGTCATTAGCATTCTTGGCAAAATGTGTTCGTTTCTTTCTTCAGGCTTTTTCATTTTGAATGAACTGATAAGCAAGCAATATCAAGATATGCTTGGCTAAAAAATACCTAATACTTTCTTTTGAGTACATATGATTCAAATTTGGGGCTGGGGAGATGGCTCCGTGGGTTGAAGTGCTTGCCATGTAAGCATGAGGACCTGAGTTCGGATCTCCAACACCCTCAAAAACCTGGCCACAGCAGTGCTTGTCTTACCATCCCAGAGCTCTGTACCCAACAGTGAGGACCAGCGTCCAAGGTTGTCCTTTAAACTCCATGCCCATGCTTAATGGTAGGTACACGCACACATGAATGTGTGTACACATACACACATGCATGCACATACATTGTACACGCATACAAAAAGATTCAAATTTGGTTCAGAACTTTCATTTTTCTTTATTGTGTATATTGTGTCTGTGTATGGCCTGGTAATTTAAAAGAAATCAACTCTCCATACAGGGTGATTAAATGTTCTTAGCCATCCTGGTGCATTCGTTGGTTTCTTATGAAAGAAGCATCAAATTATCATTCTAGGTAGTTGTGATTTAAAAAAAAAAATCTCTTAACCTGGAGCCGGAAAGATGGTTCAGTGTTTAAGAGCACTGGCTACTCTTGTAGAGGATCCAGGTTCAGTTCCCAGCACCCACATGGAGGCCAATACCTCTCTGTAACTCCAGTTCCAGGGGATCTGACACCCTATTCTGGCCTCTGTGGGCATTGCACAACATAGGTACATTTACATACATGTAGACAAAACACTCATACACTTAAAATAAAAATAAAATTTTAAAAATGTTTTAATCTCTTAACCTGCCAGGCACGGTGATGTGCACCTTTCGTCCTAGCACTCGGGAGGTAGAGGCAGGTGGATCTCTGGGAGTTACATGCAGTGTTTCAGGCCAGCCAGGGCTACATAGACCCTGCCTTTAAAAAACAAATCTCTTGGCCTACAGGGGAACCATTTACAACACTCATCTCTGAGCTCTGAAGTGAGCCACACCCAAACGGAGACTCTGAGCTTTCTGAATAACTTGTTAAGGAGTAGAATGCCACACGCCTACTTAAGACTTTTCTTGATGAAGTCAGGATGGCATTTTGTTTATAAAAGCCAGGAAACTTAAAAAGTGCTTTCTTCTCTCTTTTCCCCTTTAAGGTTATTCTTGTCCAGCTTTGAATGTTAACAGGAAGCTGAATGGGGGGGGCTCCCTAGCACCCCTACTGTGGCCCCCTGGACTCTGATCTCTGCTACTTTTCTTTGTCCACACAGTCTGTCTTCTGGCCTTGCCCAACTTTCTGTCTATTATGAGGCTTGCCAGATTTCTTCCTCTTCTGAGTTCTACTTAATTATTCTGTTCCTCTGCATTTTCTCCAAGTCCTTTGAAGCATCCCAGTCCAAACCAGGTCCCTAAAATTTTCCTGTCATGGTCTCATTCATAGACATCCTCGGAAATGATTCTTAGTTCTTGAGGTTTTGTTGGTGGGCCTGTGTCCATCTATGCTTCAGATTTGGGCTTTCTGGCTCCGCAACCCATCAGTCTTGAGGCTGGGATGTCTCTCTGATGTCCCTCGTTATGTATCTGCACCCTTCATCCTCAGACAGAGAGCTTTGTTCTGAGAGTCAGCCACTAGAAAACCCTCATGTCTACATTAATCCCTTCCTCACCTTGGCTTTGTGTGCCAAGTCAGAAGAAAAGTCTTATTGGCACTTGGGCTCTTAGAACTGTGTTCTTAACCCAAAGCCATCCTGAGAAGCTAAGCAGGTGGGCCATCTTGCCATGTTCTGCAGGACCACCCTGGTCACACTGGCCCTTTGAGATCTTCCTGACTTTGACGGGGGTAGAAGGATTTGCCCCTGGGACCCCCGCTCACCCTCATCTACAGGGTTTCACCCATGAAGCTTTCTCAGCAATCTAGATCAGAGCAGGTGGCTGGCTGTGCCCTAGGGCAGGGCACTGCACACTGCCTGCTGACCCAACCTGTCCTCACACCACCATCTCATTGGCAAAGCCTTGCCTGGCTGGCAAGCCCATTTCATGTTTGTTTTTTTCTTTTCCCCCTTGCAGGGAAAGCGTTGAGAAAAGACACCCCAGCCACCCTTCCCCAGCACCTCCCCTCCCGGTGAGCGCCCTGGGCCATACCCGCAGCTCCACCGAACCGACCACCAGGGGTCATTTGAATACTGAGAAAGAGAAACCGAAAGAGAGGGAGAGAGACCACTCGGAATCTCGAAAGGACCTGACCGTGGAAGAGCACAAGGCCAAGGAAAGCCACCTGCCCGAGAGGGAAGGGCACAGCCACGAGGGCCGCGCAACAGGTGAAGAGCCCAAGCAGCTGTCCCGGGTGCCATCGCCCTACGTCAGGACCCCAGGCGTGGACAGCACCAGGTCCAACAGCACCTCCAGCCGGGAGGCCGAGCCACGCAAAGGCGAGGTGGCCTACGAGAACCCCAAGAAGAGCACCGAGGTCAAGGTCAAAGAGGAGCGCAAGGAAGACCACGACCTTCCTGCAGAGGCACCACAGGCCCACAGGACCTCAGAGGCGCTTCCACCCAGCTCCTCGGCCAGCGCCAGCGTGCACCCAGGGCCCCTGACATCCATACCCATGACCGTGGGGGTGACCGGCATCCACGCCATGAACAGTATCGGTAGTCTGGACAGGACGCGCATGATGGCCCCGTTCATGGGCCTCAGCCCCATCCCAGGGGGCGAGCGCTTTCCGTACCCCTCTTTCCACTGGGACCCCATGCGGGACCCCTTGAGGGATCCTTATCGTGACTTGGACATGCATCGAAGAGACCCTCTGGGCAGGGATTTCCTTCTTAGGAACGACCCCCTACACCGGCTCTCCACACCCCGCTTATATGAAGCTGATCGCTCCTTCCGGGACAGAGAGCCCCATGATTATAGTCACCATCACCATCACCATCATCACCCGCTGGCCGTGGACCCAAGGCGGGAGCATGAGCGGGGCGGACACCTGGAGGAGCGCGAGCGGCTGCACGTGCTCCGCGAGGACTACGAGCACCCACGGTTGCACCCGGTGCACCCTGCGTCTCTGGACGCACACCTCCCACACCCAGGCCTCCTCACACCAGGCCTGCCCAGTATGCACTACCCACGCATCAGCCCCACTACCGGCCACCAAAATGGACTGCTGAACAAGACCCCACCTACCGCGGCGCTCAGCGCCCCACCTCCACTCATCTCCACATTGGGGGGCCGCCCGGGCTCCCCTCGGAGGACTACGCCTCTGTCGGCTGAGATCCGAGAGAGGCCACCATCCCACACACTCAAAGACATCGAAGCTCGGTAAAGCCAGGGGGGCAAGGAGAACCTGGGGCAGGGGTGAGAAGTCCCAGAGACATTCCCCCAAGACTCAAGAGACACCAGCACCCCCAAAACTGTGAGGTGCGGAACCCCAATTCTTCCCCTGTAAAAAATATGTACAGAAACTCCCTTCGGGTTTTGAAATGTTTTTGTATATTATATGTTAAATTTTCAGACCTTTTAGCCAGCCAGGTCTTGTACGTTATTACCTTTCCTTCCTTTTTTTCTTTTTTTCTTTTTTCCTTTTTTGGTCCTTGCATAAAATATTTGAATTGGAACCAAAACAGTGAAGACAACACACAAGGATCTGATGATAATAGGGGGAGGGGCACATCCGTCCATCACCCAGAGCTGTCTCTCAGAGGAGGAGGCGTGTATATAGACTGTAAAAACAGATGGCTTCCTGAGCTGATGGTTCATATATGCAAAAGATAAACACGAAAGCTTTATCTGTACAGATGTAAATACGTAAAGATTAAGTAACATAATACATTACCATTCTTAAAACGTGCTATTTGCTAATCTAATATCAGCGGACTCAGCCCTCCAAGGAGGCTGTGCGCCCATCTGTTAAACCCTTCAACTATGCAATGAAAACCAGGGCTTTACACAGAAGCCCGACTAACTCAAAGGAGCCTTTTCAAATCCATTTACAACATATTTAAGGTCATATTTTCCCTGAACAAGCGCTTATGTGACATGTGATTTCACTCTGTTTTCCTTCCTTGGTTTTTTGTTTTATTTTGGCTTTTTTGGTTTTTTTGTTTTGTTTTTCAAATGGAAGAACACCCTGTTTTTGCAGATCTGGAACCCAGGATGGAACTTTACATCTGAAGTTGCTTCTTGTGGCTTTCCTGGGAAGAATGGGGGAAGTGCACAAAATGCACACCCCCTACCCAGAAGTATAACTAAGAACCAGAAGCAGCCTTGCCCAGGGAAGATGGGATTGTTCTGATGTCAGTCATCAGAGGCAGGTGGGCTGTGTCTGCCAGATGGGACATCAGACTCTCTGGTCGCCTCTGATGTCACACACAACCTCAAGTGGGAACATCTTTTTTTTTTTTCTTTTTAAACTGTGTCCTATCTCATAACGTGTACACACTTCCTCCTTCCGTCAAACAATTTAAGGACACCCAAACAGATCCTGAAAGAAAGCTGTCCAGGCTTTCTCAAATGATGGATATGTTTTCACTGTATCCAATAACAAATTGAAAGTACACGTAACCCAGCGTGAACCATTTATATTCTGGTAAGGAATATTAAGCCTGGAAAAAGATGAAACAGGCAGACCTTGTAAGAGCCATCAAGAATCACCGAGGGGCGAAAGGTGGCTGAAAGCGCGTGTGTGTGTGTGTGTGTGTGTGTGTGTGTGTGTGTGTAGTGTGTGTGTGTTTTGATTTTTTTCATCAGTTTTAATGTCTTCATGATACTTTTATAAGACATTAACCCTCTTGTCTACATCTTTGGAGATAATATGACTTTACTAGCCGAGAAAATACAGTACAGTCTACTCGCCTGTAAAATACATGTAAGAAATAAAATTAGTCCCATTTGGCCCTTAGTATATGAAAGTGCTATCTGACGTTGTTATCCTGTTTTTTTGCAAAAAAGAAAAAGAAAAAAAAATGTTAACTACACACCATTGTTTCTAAAAGCAGAGAGATCTATTTTAGTAGCCGACTGAAGGTTTAGTTGTGAATTCAGATTTTGTGGACACCAGATGTGTGCAGTGTTTTTTTCTTTTTGTTGATGTTGTTGTTTTTGTTTTGTTTTTCTTTTTTTTAAAGACAACAACTAAAAAAAATTCCAAGGATTATGTACACTGGAACTGTAGTGGTAGCTCTCAGTATTGTAAAGAGATTGTTCTATTACAGAACTTTTTGCTGTTTCTCTTGTATGTAAAGTCTTTTCTGGATCCTATGCGAACAGGAAAGGGAAGCAACTGAATCTTCAGCATGTCTCACTGGGGGAGCTTTCTTGTGTCATGTAAATGTGCCATGTTATTAAAAAATGTGAACCAAGTTTCCAGATGCTTCTTTGTGTGAGATGCTTGCCCATCATACTTCTGGAGAAGACACCACCAGGACTTAAGACTAAGCTGTAGAAAAGACTGACCCCCTTAGCCTTGTATCCGACCAGAAGCAGATCAGCAAAGTACCCCCGTCAGTGGCAAGCCACCCTCCCCGATCCAGATGGCAGCCACCAGGTAGCTGGTTAGACAGTCATGCCATACATTCAGTGATAGATTGGTTTTTATATATGCCACAAAATTTTATAGTCTCAGCAAAATTGATGTCTTGGGGGAGCTGTGGGTGCACTCTCAGAGTGCTAGCCTAGCACGAATAAAACCCTGGGTTCTAATCCCAGCACTGCATGAAGGAAATGTGGTGCTACATGCTCGTGAGATTAGGATTTGGAAGGTGGAGGTCAGAGGTTCAAGATCCTGGGAGTTCAAAGTCCTGGTGAAATGGCTCACCAAACCTGAAGACCTAAGTTCCACCTCCAACACCCACATGGTGGAAGGAGAGAACTGACTCCTGAAGGTTGTCCTCTGACCACACACCATGGCACATGCTGTATTACATACACACACACACACAAATGTGTTCTTTTTTTTTTTTTTTTTAGTTGAAGGTCATCTTTGGCTTCATAAGATTTCAAGGCCAATTTGGCCTACATGAAACACTGTCTGAAAGGGGCGGGAGGTGGTTTTGTCAGACTCATATGGTCGGCTGATTGAATGACTCAGTGGGTAAAGAGGCTTGCTGCCAAGCCTTGACCACTTGAGTTTGACCCCTGGAACACACATGGTGTAAGGAGAGAACTGACTCCTGAAGGTTGTCCTCTGACCTCCACATGTGTGTACTCATACCCATATATGCACTCACTTGCACACATACATAAGTACATTTTTTTTCTATACAAAAAGGATGAAAAGGTCATTTTTCAGGTTGAGGTTTGTATCTCACTGGGAGAAAAAAGGACTTAAAGTCTGTTGAATCTAGGTGGCTACTGGGTAAGCATTAGAAATAGAAGGGGCTGGATGTGGTAGCACACACCTTTTAATCCCAGCATAGCAAGTTGCAGGTCAGCTGGGGTTGCAGAGGGATAGCCTCCCAAGAACAAAAAGAATAGAAAAGGAGAAACTGAACGGAACAGAAGTCAGGGGTTCTGATTCTGCAAAGGGTGCTGTCTGGACTCCTGCAGCTCCATGGGGCTCTTGGAAAAGTCCAGGGATATGCAACAAGATTCCTGGTTGTTGGGGTTGGGGAGAGAGGGCAGGTAGAGCACTCAGGCTTTAAAAGGCTTGGCTGGAGGGTGGACACATGTCTCAGCAGTTAAGAGCACATGCTGCTCTTGCAGAGTCTGGTTCCCAGAACCCAGAGCAGGTGACACAACTGCCTGTAACTCCAGCTCCAAGTGATCCAACACACCCTCTTCTGGCCTCCAAAGGCCCTGCACACACACGTGCACATAAATACACACACACACACACACACACACACACACACATACATATAAAGGGCTGGGCTGGGGATGTAGCTCAGTGGCAGAGTGCCTGCCTAATGTGCATTGCACAGACAAAAACAATCCCAACTCAGAATGGTCAGAGCAGCAATTACATAAAAGCCCACTAGGCTCAGCATGGGCTAGTATATTAATACCCAGCTCCTAGACTAGAGAACAGTGAAAAAGACCAATGGATTGTAAAACATGCTAAACACCTTGCTTTGCTGAATGCAGTATCTCAGGTGTGGCAATGGCATTTTGATGTGATTTTTCTGGAAGACCACACTGCCTCTTAACTGTACACCTATTTGGATTCTACCATCTGCAACACCAGACCCTGGAAGAGTTGCTGTCCAATCAGTCACGCTGGTTAATTCCCAAGGGCTTTGATTCATCTCCACCTCTGCATATTTCCCCTCTAATTACATTGAGCACCTCGGCAGTGATGGATACAGGCACCAATTTGATGTCCCGCTAACCTATAGATGCTCTAATTATCTCCACAATCTCTGACTCACAATGATCTTGTTACCTTCTAATGGTACATGACAAGTGAAATAGAGAATATAATGATCCGATAATTATCCCTCTGGATGGATATTTGCAATGGCAGTTGCTGCATACCCTTCCTCTGCCTCAATCAAGGTATCTGGGAGAAAATAAGATGCGACTGTCGATGGTCGATGTATACAAAGGATAAAAAGAGCACAGATGGAATTCTGCAGTGCAATTAGCCATGCAGTTGTGGAGTGCTCAAGACCTCTGGCCATCTTGAATCCCTACTGCAGCATTAATGAGGCCAAAGGAAAAGAGAACTCATGCACCATGGACTTTCATGCTTTTAAAACTTGACATTCCTTTTCCGGGAATTTCTGAAAATTTGCTAACCATAGGACTTTTCCTTAAAATACAATTGATTTTGTCTGTCTGTCTGTCTGTCTGTTTTTTAGACAAAGTCTGCCTGTAGCCCCAGCTGACCTGGAACTCACTATGTAGACCAGGCTGGCCCTGATCTCACAGAGATCTGCCTGCCTCTGCCTCCCCAGTACTGGGATTAAACATGTGCACCACCATGCTTGGCTACAACTGATTCTTGATCAGACAGAAATTTGGGGACTGAGGATATAGCTCAGCAGGTAAAAGTACTTGCCTAGCATCCACGGAGCCCTGGGTTCTGTCTGCAGCACCACATAAACCAGGCATGATGGCATATGCCTCTCATCCCAGACTGGGAGGAAGATCAGGAATTCAAGGTTATCCTCAGTTACATATCTCATTTGAGTCCAGCTTTAGCTACATGAGACCCTGGCTCAAAAAAATTGAAAAAAATTCTGTCTCTGGGACTGGGAGAGATGGTTCATCTGTTAAAAGTACTAGCTGCTTTTGCAGGTTACCTGAGTTCAGTTCCAGCACCCTCATGATGGCTAACAACTGTCTGTGACTCCATTTCCCAGGGGATTAGACGCTCTCTTCTGGCATCCACAGGCATTGTACACACATCGTATACTTCCATGCATATAGGCAAAACACTCACATACATAAAATAAAAATAAACAAATCTTTTAAAAAACCATGTCAGGAAAGGCTGTCCTTTGAACACTGAAGCTGCTGCTCTCACAGGCACTAACCTAAGGATATAGCATCTCAGTGGAAAGTGGAAGAAGTTCCTGGGATGGGGCATTGTGGAAAGAAATCACTGAGTCAGCAATCAGTCTAGGGTCACTTCTTGCATCCTTAGCAACCCTGAGACAAAGCAGAGCCTCTCTGGATCTCGGTTTCTCTCTCATTCCCTCCACTCCCATAATGGGGATGGAACTTGGGGCCTCCCATCTCCTAGGCAGTTGCTCTACCACTGAGGTGCACCCCAACCCCTCACTGGGGGAGTCTAGGCAAGGGGTCTTACCGTTGAGCTGTGCCTCCAACCTCTCAGTAGGGGTTCTAGGCAGGTGCCCTACCACTGAGGTGCACCCCAACCCCTCACTGGGGGAGTCTAGGCAGCTACTCTAACACTAAGCCATGCCATGCCCTAGGAACTCAGTTTATCTTTTGATGAGAGTAAGGAAGCATTTTTTTTGAGACACAGTCTTGAAACCAGCTAGGCTTTGAGCACTTGCCTCCAGCCCCTCAAGTTCTGGGATTAGAACCAAGCACCACCATATGAGTGAACTCAGCTTCTTTCTTTTATTATTATTTTTATTTCATGTGTATGCGTGTATTCCTGTGTGTAGGTAAGTGCACCCATGTCGTGCAATGCCAGCAGAGGACAGAAGAGGCTGTCAGATCCCCTGGAAATGGAGTTAGGACAGTTGTTAGCTGCCATGTGGGTGCTGGGATTCGAACCCCAGTCTTCTGCAAGAACAACCAGTGTTCTTAACTGCTGAGCCATCTCTCCAGTGCCGGCTTCTTAATATGTAAAATTGTCAGCAGTAGGGTGTGGTTGACTGGGGACAATGCTACCCTGCCGCCTGTAGCAGCCTGAGGAGTTCTTTTAGAGACCTCTACTTACCTGGGACTTGACGTTTACAGAAAAGAATTCCAGAATGAGCCAGTATCAAGCAGAGTAGTAGTTTATCAAGAAGAGACTTTAACACAATAACATGGCGAGAGAGAGAGAGAGAGAGAGAGAGAGAGAGAGAGAGATGTTGAAGCCTTAGCATGGGTGTGGGTTTCTCAAGAGAGGTTCCCACTAGGGCTGAAGAGATGACTCCGCAGTTAAGAGCACTTGCTGCTCTTGCAGAGGACCCAAATTTGGTTCCCAGTACCCGTATATAAGGCCGCTCGTAACTGCCTGTAACTTCTTTTCCAGGGGATCCAACTCCTGTTGTTTCCTGGAAGCAAGGTTCTCTGTGGAGATCAGCAGCTTACCACAGCAGAGGCCTATGTTAGATGCTGCATCCAGGGGCGGCCACCCTGTGATATGGCACCTTCTTGACCATAGCTACACCATGTTAAAGTTTAGGTTCATTCTAGTCTCTGAAATTATCAGGCGCTTGGCCTGAGTTGTAGTCTCAAAAGAAATAAATAGGAACCGTAGAAAGACTCAGCAGCTAAGAGCACATACTTCTTTTACAAAAGACAGTTCGGTTCCCAGCATCCACATAAGGCAGCTTATCACCACTCCAGCTGCAGGGAATCCAGTGCCTCTTGGCCTCCTTGGGCACTGTACTCCTGGGCAAACACACACGCAGATTTACGTAATTTAAAAATAAAATTAAAATCTTTGAAATGAAGTGCACTGCACACGTGTGTGTGTGTGGGGGAACACATGTCAGCATGATCCAGTTGTCTTGAGAACAGGTCAATGTGTCCAGGAGTGCACCTGCTTACTGCAGATTTATGGCTTCTGTAGGTTATGCCTGGCTTGCTTCTGCAAAATAGTAATTGTTGCTTAATAGAATAGAAATTGTTAAGGAGGTTTTGCACCTGTAAGCTTGGGAACTTAAACTTTTTACCACTGGTTATAGTTTCTCTGTATAAAGGCTTATGCTAGAGATGGCTTGGAGTGGGTTCC